ACACAAACTTTGAATCTCTTCTACATAAACTTGAGGAGCTCCTGCCGCATATTAAAGTCCCTGTCATTGTGAAGGGTGTTGGCCATGGAATAGAGAAGCGTAGTGTGATGGCTTTACAGAGAGTGGGAGTAAAATATATTGACGTCTCGGGATGTGGTGGAACCTCATGGGCATGGATTGAGGGATGGCGGCATCCGGATCTCCCTGATGACCAAAACTTGGGATACATCTTTCGGGACGTTGGGATCACCACCGACCGTTCCCTGCAGGAATGTGCGCCTCTCACCCAAGCAAGTGATCTTCGTCTTATCGCTGGAGGCGGCATTCGTACCGGTCTTGACATCGCCAAATCCCTGATGATGGGCGCGGAATGTGCAACCGCAGCCTTGCCCTTTTTGAAAGCTGCACTGGAAAGTCCCGAAAGGGTTCGTGGGGTCATTCAGAGGTTTAAAAAGGAACTTATTGTCGCCATGTTTGCCTGTGGTGCGAGTACCATTGAGGAGTTACGGAAAATGTCCCTTAGCGTGTCCTCGTCGCTTTAGGGGGGGAAGGACAGGAAAGAAATAGTGGAGCTTGAATATATGTGTATTTATTTTCTCATTATATTTTTATCTGTCTTCGGCTTCGGGGAAGTGTGCGTCCATCCATTCCTGGTTTATGGTGGAGATGAAGAAGAAGAAGAAAACGTTTAATGATTCAAGGGGACTTTTTCGGTTCTCTCACGAGCTCACTTACTTTTGACTTTTATTATTATTATTATTTTTTTTTTTTTTTTTTTTTTTTTTCCGGCTGTCAGTGTTGCTGTTTTGAAAGCTTTCGAAAGAAATGGTTTGGCCCTATTTGTCTCCGGTAAACACGCATGATAATAACATTGTTCTTATTGTATCACAGTAAGGATCATCCCAAAGGGTGAGGCTTGAAGGAGCGCCCGACGTAAACCCCACCGTCCCGTGCGGGGAGGCGGGTGGGAGACGCCTTTACTTCTTTATGTTATAAATTCATTCAATATTGCATAAATGATGTAACAATAAGGAATTAATTTAGACTCTCTATTGACTACTGGGCCTAAACATATGTGTATACGTCTCCGTGGCCGCAAAGACCACACAGCGAATATAAATGATGTTTACTTTTCCCTTCCCACCTTTTAATTGGGGATAAGTGATGCATAGAATAATTTAATTTGTGTGGTTGCACAGGGATATATATATATATGAACATGTATATGTACGTATGAATTATAATGATGATTTTACTACTATATTCCCTACTTCTTTTTTTTTTTTTTTTTTTTTGTGCGTGCGCCTTTCTGATGTGTGTTTTTGTTTTTTTTTCTTCCAATAGTGGATAGGGAAGAAAGCTACCATACAGGTCTGATGGTTCAGGGTGGTGTGGTGGAGATCCCCCCTAACTTTGTTCCATTGGAACATGTTTGCCGGGCTCTCAAGAACGCTGACTGCCGTACCCCCGTTATTTTCTTTTATGAAGATGGTGATCCTTTTCTTTCTCTCTGCAAAATTGCCAGGGAGATGCAATCCGCCGTGTGGCACTTTGACCTTGCCGTAATAAAAAGCATTCAAAACGTCATGGATTACATCGATGTGGGAACAAAAAACGGGGACTGGGTGTTGATCTCACACTGTGAGGAAGTGGAGCAACACCTCTTCCGTGAAGTTGCTCTTAGGGTTTTTCTCTTGAAGCCGGAGCCGAAGAAGTACCCTCGGCGGGAGTTTTTTCGGTGTTTATTTTGTGTTGAAAAGGCCTTTGAATTGGAGGGAAACGCGATGACGCCATTTCCTCCGGTCCTTCTCAAGAACTCCATTATTTCAAGACGCGTGGATGAGAGTTCTTCAAAGTGGTGCCTTAAACTTCCATCGGATGCTAAATACCGAGAAATTGAGGAATTAAAACGTGAGCGACGCCGCGCAGCCGGTCGCGACAGCGACAGTGAAACGGACCTGAGTGAAGATGACAGACTATCTGGTAAGTGGTTCCATCGCTCGGTGGAATTAAATAAGGCGGCTGATGAATCTCCAATCACCATGGCGGAGGGAGAAATGCAGGCTGCATTGGATGAAGAAGATGTAGAGACGATCAAAATTTTGATTGCGGATGGAAAGATTGACGTGTCGAAGGTCATCAAATTTGGCATGACGCCGCTTCAGTACGCGTGTTCTACTCAAAAGGTCAAGGCTGCGAAGTGTCTGCTGGAGTGCGGTGCCGACCCCAACCAGCCCCGTCAAAGTGATGGTCGTCCCCCAATATTTATGGCTCTCGAAGATGAGTCGCTTGTGGAAGCTCTTGTAAAACATGGCGCGGACTTGTTTAAGACATTCCAGGGATGGCGGCTAGACGCCCACCCAGATACGTCGCCGCCCATAGCGCGAATGATTAAGAAGCTCCGACAGAGCATGTGATGATTTCAAGTGATAGTGTGTGTAGGGGAGGGGAAAAAAGATAAAAGGGCACCAACAAAGACATGGGGTATTGTATGCATTTATAGTGCCTGCTTTTTCTCTCCTTTATGTATATTTTATGTACAGCGCCTGAGGATGTGTGTAAGGTAAATGTCGGTGAAAGAATGTGAAGGAATTCAGAGAAACCATTTGTACTCTCCCGCTCGATGTGGAATTTGTGAGAAAAAATGTTTCTTTTTTCTTTTTTTTTTTCTTTTAGTTTAGTTCTTTCCCGTGTACCTTTATTTCTTTTTATTGTTTTATAATTTATTTATTTATTTATTTATTTATTCATTTTTATTATTATTATGTGTGTGTTACTTGTGGTGCTGTTGTTGTTTTCTTGTTTCTTTTACTTTTATTTTTTATTTTTTATTTCTTCCCTTTTTGGATGGGTGTTCTTGGTGCTTTTTTTTTCTTTTTCCCTTTTAGGAGTCATTTGTGTTGTCGGGTGTTGGTGGTAAAAAGAAGTGAAGGAAACGAACACGCCGAGGTGATGGTTAGTTTGTGTAGCAAGAAGGGCCCGTTGGGGGCAGCGCTGAGTTTGTCCGTCGCAACGATTGGCGCAGGGACTCTCACGCTGCCTTTGACTTTTGAAGACTGTGGAATTCTTCCTGTCATTGCGTTTATGGTCCTCGTTGGGGCCTTTACTGTCATTTCGATTGATTATCTCATTCTGTGCGTCGATAACGTGCAGCTGCGATCGTATGAAGAAATCTCTCGTCAATTGTTGGGTCGTACGTTTGAGGAGGTTGCCCGCTGGATGCTTATTCTTTACAACGTCGGGGTTGCGGCAGGGTACATTGTCGTTATTAGAGAACTCTTCGACCCTCTGGTGCCGATCATCCGAGGGCACTTCCCATTTCTCGATAGTTCCATGCGTATCATTGTGATTGTTTGGGCATTTCTGATGCTTCCCCTGACATGCATTCCACAGATAACATCTCTACATTTTGTGTCTTTGATGGCAATTGCTTCCACCTTTGTTGTCTCCGGTCTTATTGCCTACCGCTACTTTGTGCCATTTCATTCGACAGCAGCACAAGAGGGTCATGCTGTGAAGTATTTTTCTCTATCACGTCGCATGGTATTGGCCCTGCCGATATTGATGTTCTCATTTGACTGTCAAACACTTGTGTTTCAGATTTATGCCGGTATTGGTGAACAGACCCCAAAAGGTATGAGGAAAGTGTCGATAATTAGCATCGGGATCACTGGGATGGTTTATTGGGCGGTAGGTCTTTTTGGTTATCTATCGAATACGCCTCATGTTCACGGTAACATATTGACCAATTATAATCCTATAGAAGACAAACTGTTTGCAGTGGGGGATGCCATGTATTCATTTACCGTTATTATTGCCTATGTTCTTGTTCTGTTTCCTTCTCGAGATGCTGTCTTTACATTATTGTATGGATACAGCAGTACTACCTGTGATTATTTTGATGCTGCTATATCGACCAAGGATAACCTGATAGCAAGCTTTTTGCTGTCCACGCTTAGCCTGTTATTGGCCTTGAAGGCCCCCGGGATTGTGTTTATTATCGCGTTGTTGGGAGGTCTTTGTAGTAGTACCCTTTGTTTTATATATCCTGCCACTTTCCGTATTCGATTACATGCGTTGGGTATTGCTCCGGCATCCTCATGGGAACTCTTTATAGCTTTCGTCATGTTGGGTCTTGGTTTTATCGGTGGGGTGATGGGTAGTGTGGTGATGTTCACAGGGATGAGCTAAGATATATGTATATATATATATATATATATATATATGGACTTTTCTTTTCTTCCTGTGTGTGCATTTGCGTGCACTTTTTGTCCACGCTCTTCTTTCGGTTCATGATGTTTTTAAACGCATGATGATAACGATATTAATAATATTAATAATAATAATAGAGGTGGTCATAAGGCACAGCCGGTCCTGTTCCTTTTTTTTTTACTTTTGCTTCTCCGCTTTTGTTGTTAGGGGAGGAAGTCGGTGAAATGAGAGGGGAAGAGACACCGATGCATGACGGGACGGGCTTGCGGCTGGCCATTCTTTTCTGCTCGTGTTTTGGGTAAATTATGTTGAGCAAAAAAAGTGTTTTTTTTTTTTTTTCTTCCTTTTTTCGGTTGTTGTTTTCTGTTTGTGTGTTTACGATGATACCTGCCCCTCTTTTCTTTTCTCCTCCATCATTGGGCACAACAGCTGCTGCTGCGTCTGTTTGATGCATTTCGGCCACAAATCGGTGCGCTTATTCATCGCCCCGCCCTCTCCTTTTTCTTCACTTGCGTACGGCTGGAGTTGTTTATTTTTTTGTTGATGATTCCAATCTCTTTTTTTTTTTTTGTGTGTGTGTGGTGTACTTTGACCCGTGAATAATACGAGGTTGGTTTGATTTTTTGTTGCGGATCCCATGCGGTCTTGGACGGATGGGATGATGCCGTTTCTTTTCTCTTTTTCCACATGAAACAACTCCTGTAGTGTTCTGCGTCGATAGTCAAATCGTGTCAAATGTACCTTGCGGGGCGCCCCTCGTTTTATGCTTCGGCTTTGATTGGAACAAATGCGGTCGCAGGGTGGGAATTGTACCTCCTGTACCGCCAGTGGAGATCATTTTTCCGCGAGGAACTTCCGGAGTCGCATGCGGGCATTGTGGAGGACGAGGAATTTCAAAAAAGTCAGGCGTACGGTAGAGATAAGGGGGCGTTCGCCATTTGCTGCGATGTCCGGGATCTCATTCTGAGTAATGTGGCGATTCTGATAAGACTCCCCGCCAGGACGTTCGATTGGGTGGCAAAATGGCTTCCTGTGGCGGCAGGTTCATTCACACACTGCTGCGCCCTGACGGCGGCCACGGATGTCGCGTCAACCCTGATGTCGCTTCCCTTTGATTACTACAAGACGTTTGTTATTGAGGAAAAACACGGATTCAATAAAACGTCCCGAAAGGAGTTTTTCAAAGATGCGGCAAAAGGATTGTGTCTTCGCGTATTTCTCTTACATCCCCTCACCACGGGGTTGATTCTTCAGGTCGTTTGGAGATTTGGGGACCGGTTTCCTCTCTATTTATTTCTCGGGGCCACAGGTCTGGCGATGGCCTTCACGTTTCTCTATCCGACTCTTATCCAGCCCCTCTTTAACACATATACGCCCATATCCGAGGACTCGGCATTGTACAAGAAGATTTCCATTCTTGCCAAGTCGCATCAATTTCCATTGGAGAAGCTATATCAGGTCGATGGTTCACGTCGGTCCAGTCATAGTAATGCCTACGTGTATGGATTTTGGAAAAACAAACGGATTGTCCTGTATGACACCCTCATCGAACAGATGGAAGGGGATGACGACCTCATCTTATCCCTTCTGTGCCATGAATTGGGGCATTGGAAGCATTCACACAACATCATTCTTCTCGGCATTGGTATTGCCCAGCTATTTTGCATTTCATTTGGAGCAAAGGCGGTTATATTTAACCCTGAGATTTATGAGGAATTTGGTTTCCGTCAAATGAATCCATTTGTTGGATTCACGCTGTTCCTCTCCGTCGTCGCGGAGCCGCTGCTCACACTTTTCGGTTATGCTTTCTCGCTCCTGTCGCGCCAACTCGAGTTCCAGGCGGATAAATTCGCGGTTGAATCAGGCTACGGCATGTCACTGAGAAAGGGCCTCCTCATCATGCAAAAAACAAACAAGTCCGAGGTGTCCCCGGACAATTTATACGCCGCGATGAAATACACGCACCCGCCAATTGCCGAACGCGTCGCCGCCATCGATGCCGAGATAAAAAAGAGCACGTGAGTTCTGCGAAGCGTGGGGAAAAGCAAAAAAAAAAAAGAGCCATACGGGTACAATAGGTCCGCTGCGAAACACGCGCAACCCAAATGTGAAGAGAGGAAGCCGCGCCAACAGGGATTAGGGAAAGGAATGCAAATAAGTGAAGGGTAACTTTTGAAACACGCTCTGGGAAAAGACGAAAGCAACAAAAACAAAACATAAATCCCTTTTTGTTACCGTTACCGTTATCCCCGCCGACTGCTCAGAGTTGCCTTTTTTTTCTTTGTTTGTTTGACATCGCGCTAAAAAAAGTATAGTTTTTTTTTTTTTTTTTTTTTTTTTTTTTTTAGGGCGAAGTGACGGTTACATTATGGCGTCGTTTGTTTATTTGCCCTCGCCCCCTCCGTGCCGCCCGAGGTCCGAACACGAATGAAAAACGCCATTGGAACTTCCCATCGCGCGAAAGCCGCCCAGAGGACGACGTGCGACGCATTAGGCAACTTTTTGGGCAAGATTTTTTCCAATACGCATAGGGATCCTGGCAAACTACAAATAAAATGATGCGTTTGAAAGAAGAAGATATTATGATCGGGTGAATTTGACGAACAAGACGGCAGGCCGGATCGCGCTCATCGGGATATTCACCCGGGCCGCTCACTGGATCCTGAAATAATCTAAAGAAACCGAACAAGGTAGAAGAAGAAAGGATTTTCGCAGAGTTGGTTCATTGCCTCCACCTTTTCCTTTCATTCGATATTTAAATTCTATTGACCATTCGCATGTTCTTTTTTCCTCAGAATATCTTTATTACTTACGAAGTGGCAGACTTTGGGGTCCTTCAGCCACAAGACCCCGCCGCTCCCTTCGCCAAGTCCTGAAGCGTAAAAACACGACCGCGTGGCATGCCGTCTGCGGGATTTTCCGCGGACCGCACGTAAGCAAAGGATGCCTGTATTCCGCGTGAGTCAAAAAAACTCATATATCCGTCGCAGATCCCACGTCAACGCGTGCGATTTTGAGCTGCCTTTATTCGCCGCTCCTTGCAGCGAAGTGTTGTCTACCCAAACGTCCATGGTGGGTGGCAAGATGGCGGAAAAGACCGATAAGGCTAAGCGTACCGCGCGCGCCCCGGTCTGCATGATAAGAAAGGGCTTCCTCTCCCACTCTCCTCCGGCAATTTTAACGTCGCCGGAGTATGGAATGAAAACGGCTCCCCATCCATGAGGCAACGCATCCGTGATGATGGCGGCCGATGCCTTTTCCGTGGGCTTGAGGTTTCGCCGATGATTATTCTCGATCATGTGTCGCAATCTCTCGCCCAAGCCAACCGCTGCCGGCGAACGATTCGCCGGGGATGTCTCCTGCACAATCCCCCGGTTAAGTGCGGACAATCGTCGTCGCACTGCCTTGATGAAAAGGTAGTAATCACATAAATGCGTGCCCAAAATGGCAGCCGCGTACAAAAAGGCGTGACGCCTTGAACTCCATTTCCGCGATGGTTGAAGAATTGAGCGCCGGCATGGCGCGTACAGACCGGACAAACTTGTCACTCAGAGATACCATCTTGTGAGTTTGATCAAACTGCACCCCAGGAAGATGTACTGCGTGGCGCCCGATTCGCGTTCCTCCCCCATCGTGGCGCGACGGCCGTCCGCATTACGAAGCACTTGGGCTTCCCACAATGTCACATTGCTTTTCGACCCTGCGATGCGTATATTATCGATCCAAACGTCGATACGCACCAATGGAGGTGCAGCCCAGAGGAAGTGAACCACCGTCGTCACCACCGCAATTGCCGAAGTAATGATCTGGAGAATTTCTGGGCTGGCCTTGTATCCCATTGGGAGCCGCGTGAGCTCCTCCAGCGTGCCGTCCTCCACGCGGCATCGAAAGAGATGCCGAGTCTCCCGCGGTAAGGAGACTCGGAAAAAGAATGCCTTTGAGTACAGGCAGGAAGCGGCCTCAGCCATCACAGGTGTCAAGTAATGGGAAATGCGTAAAAAAGGTACAATAGCCTCATAAGGTTCTTCTCTATTCTTGTAGCGTGCCCACGCAATCCATCGTTTTCGCAAACCGGCGTTTTTCTCCTCCACAACCGAAAAAGGGTATTATCCATCAGCCTGTTGTTGTGGATGAAGCGTCCTCGATTATTCACGCTTCCTTCAACAATCGCGCGTCAGCGACTGGAATCCTTCGTGGGCTTTCGCCTGGTGTAAAAGAGGACGGAGGAAAAGGGGACCGCCCGACGAGTCCCCAAACTTGCATGAGTCTCTCAAAGGTGGCCGGGTTCAACGGTCCCCTGACGCACTCCAAATTCAATGCGGAAACGTTGACTTGCTGTGGCGGGATGGTTCGTTCCTCTTGTGGAGTGGCCAGTCGCGTCCTTGTCGCGCGTCTTTAAACCGCGGCGGCACGATGAAGATCATAGAAAAACGCCTCTCTGCTCTCAACCACGGTTCCGGCCCTCCCGCAGTTTCTCCCTTCACACCAATGCAACCAGCGACGACACCTGGGTCAGCACTGTGTTGCAATTCCCCAAATACCGAACTGTGCCTTGGGGAAGGCCAAACGGGTCGTCGTGCCCCGCCATCCGCAAGATCACGCGTGGGTCCAAATTGTGTGACTCCACGATTTCAGCGGCGCACCCCGTTTTATGGAATGCGCCGTGGCATCCCAAGAAGCCAGAGCTCGCTCCACGTGGGCAGTCGTAAGATTCGTGAGCTTTTCGCTGTGTCAAAGTGTCCTGCATAACTTTATAGTGTTGAACGCATCCCGCCCTCGTATCCTGACGAACCGCGAGGCGCGGTGGGGATCCGCCCTCGCCGTCCTTGGTGCCACGGACAAATCCAGAATTATGGTCCCGTCCGGATCCAGTGTGAAATTTTTTGGGAGTCAAGGCCGCAATGTCGGACCAACGACTCGCCATTACCCAAACAAGTTGAAAACAACACGTTCCTTTCAATCGGTCCGGCTGCGGACAAATTGGTTCATCTTTTCCGTTGTCAAGGGGGCGCGCCTGCTTCGTTTCCGAACGCGCCGCAATTTTTGGTAACACCAGAATCGCCATTTCCAGCGGGGTTCGATACATTTGCAAAATGGACCGCCAGCATCCTGGCGTGCTGCGGTCGGATCGATGGCGCCACATCTCATATTGCCATCAAAATGACCGCGCAGCTCTCCTCGTTGATCGGCTGCGCGTGCGTGCGGCATGAACTTGTGAATTGCCCCGCTAGTGACATTCTCAGCTCCTACTTTGACGGCGCCCGCATTTCTCAAGCCAACTCGTTCGCCCTCCTCATGTGGCTGGCACAGAGCGAAGATATCGGTGATTCGCGGTACCACAGTCGAGCGTCGTTGGCGTATAAGCTCCTTTGCGCTTCTTAACGATTGCGTGGGGCGATTTGGAAGATCGGATGGAACATCGGCGGTGCGGTGCGACGTCTTCTGTGGGGATTGGTGGGAGGTGGTGGAATGGGTGTAGCCGCCGTCGTCCGCCTTCATGAGCGGCGGGCAGCCCCTTCGCCTTTTTTTGACGTTCGTTTGTAGTTCGGTGAAACCCTTTTGGGGCGCACGTTGCAATTAGACGCGTCGTGCCCATAATTGTGGCACAGTCGGCATCGCAGCAACAGCGATCGAGTTCCCATTCGATCCATGAGAGGCTGAGCCGCCCTCGCGAAGGTGTCATCCTCATAAAAAGCCGTATGGAGGCGGGCACGCAGTTTTTGGATCGGGATGCTGGGGTCGGATTTAATCATGATCTGCATCCAAAAGACCTGCAGTACAATCCTGCCCAAGTCCATGAACTGCTTGTTGGGCTCCCGATACAACTGCAATGCGCACATCCACGAAACCAGAATGTCAAAGGCAATTTGGGCGTGAGCATCCCCTCGGTGCCAGTAATCGTAAGCGCTACGGATTTCAAATATGCCTTCATTCCAAATTCGCGGGAACAAGTGTTGGCGACAAATTCAAAGAAACCCGGATTCTCTTCATCCGAACCGGAAACTTCTTCTGGAGCCGGAGATCGAGAGGGCGAAGTCACGGGGTGAGGGAAACGCGGTCGCCCAAATTGCCCAATGACGCATGAGTATTGACCCGCCGTCGCTCTCCCGTGAAAATGGGTTGGGGAATTGTGGGTGCAGCCGCGCCCCTGGCCATCAAACGCTCGTGGTGGGGCGGTGTCGTTGCGCCATCTTCGGACCCGTGCGCGGGTGCATCTGGCGGCCCTCTCCTGGAAGAGGGAACTCCTCGCTGTCCGGGCGCGTCGCCGCACCCCAAGCTGCAAGCCGCGCTTCCAAGGCACTGATGCGTGCCTTTCGTTCCTGGGGTTGTCCCTGGGGTTGGGCAGGGGCTGTCTCCAAATGGCGTTCGCGCCCCGCAAGCGCCGATTCTCGTCGCGCAAGAAAACCGTCCGCCACCGCAGTGTTCGACGCACGTGCCGAAAAGTGGTTATTCGCTTCCTCCATCTGATGTTGAAGCTGCGCGCTTCTATTCTGCACGTCCGCGGCGGCGTAGTGCGACTTTGATCTCCGCCCTTCCGCGATGGTCAGCCCTTGCCGCGTCCCCAACTCACGGGCTGCCCTCATTATGGGCAGGAGGAATTGAGACTCAAAATTTGGTGCTTGGGGCGCCCGGAGATCCGCAATGTGCCCCGTAATGGTTGAATCCTCCCAGTGCTTGGCAGTGTTTCCTGAAATCCATCGTGAGCCCCTTATGGTGGCACTGACAGTCATCATTGATTCCGACTGTCCCTTTTCATCCATGTAGGCGAGTTGCTCCTGTATATCGCCTTGCTGGCGTACAAGATCCGCCATGCAATTACCGATAAGGCTCCATTCCGTTGCCGTGTAAAAGGAACCATCGCCATTCCTTTATATGAGCTTGCAGGAATCAGGTTTGGCTGTAAAAACAAAATAAAAATAAAACAACTAAATTCGTCTAGACGCCATTGGTTCCCTGATTCCTAGAATCGCGGTCAACCAAAAAATAATAAAGTAGGGGAAAAAGGCTCATGGAGAGTTCGCTTCATCAGGGTATATATATATTAAATTAGATAGTAAGCTCGACCCTTAAACAGTCTCTTCACAAGGTTCCGGAAATAAAAATAAAAGTAGAAATAGTAATAATAACAATAATAATAACGAAAGAAGAAAATAAAGTAAATTTTTTTTTTGGAAAAGTAAGGACCCACCCGGGTTTGAACCGGGGACCATTCGGACTGCAGCCGAATGCTCTACCACTGAGCTATGAATCCTCCGTCGAAAAGTTTTTTGTGTAAATGTAACCTGTTTCTCTCGACATCTAAAGCACGTTGTGTGCCTAAGTTCGCCGCGAACGCCGGCGAGACATGGCGAAGGGAGTGCGATAGTTACGTTGGCTGCCGGGGGACGATTCTTTGGAATTTTATTGGCGACGGGGCCTTATCGCACTTGCCCTTGGGACGGCTCTCGTTGAAATCGTTTATTTGGGGCGACGGCTTTGTTTTCCATGTGCGTGTCTTAATCCTTTTTCTTTTTTGTTTTGAGCTTGGGAACGAACAGGTGTTAGTATCGATGACGGTCCAAAGGTACTATTTGTTAGGGGGCGCCTTGTTCTTTTTTTTCGTTTACTGTTTGGTTCGCCCTGGGTCTTTGCGTCGTCTTGCTTTTGCTTCTGGTATCGGTTTTGCTTTGGGATACGGATTGCCAGCTCTAAATAACGTGCGAAAGCATTCATTTAAGGCCATAAATGAACCAATCCATTTGCTCGCACCACCGGCAGACTTCCGTAGCATGTATCATCGAATTTTTGAGCATATTTCAGAGCGTTATGATGAACTTGGCCAAATGGAAATTGGGGAGGAACATATTACAGTCATGCAAAATGTTTTTGCTCAGATAGGGACTCTCGATTTTGATGGTATTAGAAAAATGTGGACTTCAGTGATTATACCTCAACTGCGCAGCTCCATAAGTGGTGGCGCTCTTGTTAATGATAGTCAAAATTTGCCCACAAAAATTGAGGAAAGCGTCGTTTTTTGCGATATTGGAAGTGGCGTAGGAAACGTTTGTCTTCAAATTTTGGCCGAGACCCATTGCAAAAAAGTGGTGGGAGTCGAGGTGATTCCTTCCAGGTTCCGCAGTGCAAAAATTGCTCTGGCAAATGCCAAGTTTTATTATCCTGAATATTTTGATGGTAAAGACGCAATTTTTTTCAATGATGATTTTGTGAACTGCGTATCATGCTTAAAGGAACAGCAGGTGAATGTCATATTTGCCCATTCATGGATGTTTGACGATGAATTGATGGCGAAGCTGACAGAATTGGTCACTTCTGTGCCAACAGTGCTTTGTGTAGTGACATCACGCAGACTCACTGAGAAAGTTTTGCAGATTAGTCCAATTAAGCTCGTTTCACAAGTCTACCTGACGGCCGATTGGAATGAAGAGGCGCCTTTTTACGTTTACACAAAAAAATAAGCGAGTGGAAAAAATCTAAACAGTTGACGATGGAAGGAAGGAAGAAAAAAAAAAAAAAAAAAAAAAAAAAAAGAAAAGAAGATAACGGGAAAATATAAAAAAAAAAAAAATAAATAAATAAATGATGAACCGAGGGGAATATTGAAGGAACCGTGCCTTCGAAAAAGTAAATATAAAATAGCAACAAAACCACTAATGTACCTTGATGTTTTGAGGCGTGAATGACCGAAGGATGCTTGTAACCGGTTTTTTTATGGTACAGGGGCTTCGAATTAATTTTGGAGGTTCGCTTTTATTATTATTATTATTATTATTATTATTATTTACCGGCTTTTTCAAAGTGTGTTGTTTTTCTCTTTTACTTGAACCTTGGGAGACCTGTTATTGACTCAAAAACTGCGCTTTTTTATTGGTTTTGTGGACGTTTGAGGCGCGATGTCATGAATTGGAGGTAATGCCTTATTTGTGACTTCCCAATATTCTCTTAATATTTCAAGAATGAGGTTTACATTATTTTTTCACTGAAATGTGCATTTTCTTTTAAAGGGTAAAAAAAAAGATGGTATTGGGGTCAGATTATTACGAGGCAAATGGACACTGAGGTAAGTATCAATATGTCATTTGAAGATTCTTTGCCTCAGTAATAATAGATAATTTTACCTCTTGGAATGATTTTGCATTGGCCTGAAGGAGAATAAATAGATATGGAAAAAAAATGTAAATTAATATTTGGATTGGCAGTCTTTATATATATATATATATATATATATATTTTTAAAAATCTTTTTATTCATTAAAATCCTTTTTTTTTTTTTTTTTTTTTTTTTTTTGATTTGTGTGATATAATGAATTTTTTATCTCTTTTTCTTCCGTTTGCAAATTTTATTCCCTAACTTCATAAGTTTAATATAATTATGAATCAATCTCGATCGGGGATAAGCGATGAAAATTTTGACCCATCGCTGATAGATGATAACAGGACCGATGAGGCCGCCGGATCTTTTTATGACAACGATCAGCACGATACAGAAGAGCTCTCTGATGATGAGGAAGAAATATTAATGGAAAGTCCTTCTACTGATCTTGTTAAGGACATCATGAAGCGTTTGTTGAAGGTACAAAAACAAATGAAGTCGTTAACACATAAAATCGAGAATGTTTTGAATGTGAATTCTTTAGATTTACATCCATTGGGTGTAAATAACGAAAATGACATTGAAGGCACAATATTACTGTTAATAAAATATGATGAACTTCATCTTTTTCTCTGGGGGCGTATGGCTAAATTGCTTCACGAAGAACACCAGCAATGTGCCGATGTTTACACTGATACGTTGAACTTGCATGATCGAGAGCCATTTGAGTCTCTTACTTATACAATTCACCATAACACTGTATTTTGTGAATACATGGGGGAATTGATAAATATCACTATAGACCACACAGCCACCCATTCTGATGGTGAAGGCGAACAATTGAGACAGAATTGGGCTAAGCACATCAGGAGCATGGAGAAATCTCAGATTCTTGCTACTTATACCGCATTGCTGGTTGTCGAAGGTTCACGCGAGAGTTTTTTGGATCCTTTTTCTACTTATGACCTTTGCAAGATAATTGTTGAGGAGAAAATTCGTAGAAAACGACTGTTGGCACTATCATTATTGTTTAGCATGCTTGAGCAAGACGATCAAGCAATGGGTGAAACTCTTAATCAGCAACTCCCTCAGATTTTGTTACAGAGGGTCAGACATCTTGTTCATCGAATTTTTGGTTATCCTGAGAAACAGAATGTAATGTTTTCTCGAGAGCACAGTGGTTCACCATTTAGACATTATTCTACTTTAATACACAGCAACTCTAATTCTCCTTTTAGCTCGCGAAGGGCTTCACCAGAGATTGTGAATAGAAATCTAATTAATGATACAAGAGGGACACCGCTATCAAGTTCAGCATTGGCTTCCCTTCATAATGGCAGTTCGTCTTCACACGCCGCGGATAATCAAGGGATCACTTCTGCAGAAGCACAAATGAGGGAATTACCAATAATTAATATGGAGTTTGAAAAACCTTTATTTCAAAGAGTAAAGCATACACGTGATAATCAAGAAAGTGAAGTGACGTCGAGGCCAGCAAAGGCAATTAAATTGGAAATAAATGAGCGAGGTCCTGAATGCCAGGAGTCAAATGAAAATTGGCAACCACAAAAAGGGGAGAAAGTAGGTCGAGGTCCCGCATGGAGTTTTGAAAACCAAGCTGAAGTTTGTGATATTGGTGAAGTATTGGGAGTGACAACTACAGAGGAAATATTAGTAAGTTGGGTAAGGAATGTGGATTCTGCTGCGGATAACGATGCTGAGTCCCGTGTTTTTCGTTACAAATACAAAAAGCCTCATGAACAGGTAGTTTCATGGCAACGGTTCTTGAGTATAAAAAGCATGAAATCAGAGGATATTGACTTTAAAATGGAGGAATTTATGCTTAATTGCGCTGTCATAGGAGCTATTTGTCATCAACGAGAAGCCGTACTTCCAGCTCTTCAATTTCAAGTGATTGAATCCATGATACATGTTTTGAATAGTATTGATTTAGCTGGCGCTGCAACTATGGCTAAAAATGCAGAAACGGATACCGAAATGCGAGAAAGGACCCTTTTGAGAATGGAAGAAGAAGACGGAGCTGTGGATGAAGATAAATTAGAAATTCGATTGAGGTGGGATGCAAAACTTTATATTACGAAGGAGCACTACCGTCGGGTGAGGGAAATCGTGGCGAGAGTAGGCTGGGTATTGAATGGTTTGCTTTCCCATAAGAAATTGGCATTTCTCTTTCTTGAACTAGGTGGATTGAGACAGATTATGACATTGATTAATGCAAACCTAGAGGTTTCGACGACATATGGCTGCTGTATGGTGTTGTCTCAACTCGCGAGAAGTGCTGTGTTGGAAAAGCTCCTTCGAAATCATGGAGATTATTTTGAACCCATAATGAAATTTGTTCTGCATCACTGGAAAAATGCGTCTAGTCACGATGTACAAAGTAGCGCGGGTGGTTTTCTTTTTCAGGCTCTGAGCTTTCCTTGTGTCATTTCATTTTTCGACATCCATGAGGGTCCACAGTCAACTATGGCTACAATAGAGAGACTACTAAATAACTCAGAAGAACGATTTGACGTTATTTATCCAGGTCTGACTCTTGCCGCGTTAAAGTGTTTTTATGTGTATTTGGTTTCTCATTTGATGCTTTATACGAGAGTTGTTTTTCGAAAGCATCGTTTTTTATCAACTCTAGTGACAAATTCTTCTCAGGGCGTGTCGTTGCCTCGGGATCCAGCAACAGTTGAATGGATTTTGAGTTTTCTTTCTTCTACCTCTGCATCTATTCCTGACGTAACGATTGAAACTGTTCACAGCTTATTGACTCGAGAGAGGCTTGTTGTTTTTCGATCCTTAATCGAAAACGATTTTCACAGACTTTTGCTTCGGTGTACACAATTTTACTTTAATCAGGGCCGTTGGGAGTTACTTGCAGCTTCTTTGAACGTTTTGTGTGTTTTGTCGGTTGTTCCCTTTGTTCGTCCCCTAATTGCGGATGCACAGTATCCGGAGTCTGGAATTGTACACTTGATTATGATATTAAGTGATTTGCCGTCGGCCTCTCGAAACGGGAATACATCTCGTGAATCGCACTTAATTCCATGTGTGGCTACCGCGTTGCAGATCCTATTGCATCTAGCAGTACCTCCTGTGGATAAAAGTGATGAGGCATCCGTAGCTACATTTAATCAAGTCTGTGGCATGATCAGGGCAAACGATGGCGTTCGCACTTTGTTAGAAGTTTTGAAGATTCGAAAGGATGCGGCGATGTCAGCCAAACTTCATTTTTTTCCAGTGGTTGCTCGGGCTCTACAGTTGATGGTAACTCTTCAGCGTTATGCCGATACTCGTCTTCTTTTTGATGCTCTGGATGTGAATTCAGTGGCCAGAGAGTTGTTGAAACAATATGACGATGTTCAAAAGGAATATATCTCTATGATGGGATCTCGTTATACTGCAGGTGATGTACATGCAACAGGTCGTTTCATGGAAAATGTTAAATGTTTTTTGTTTGACAAAGAAAATAAGGAAAATTTAACTGTTTCTGTGGATCCAGTGGAATTGGAAAGAAGACAAGCCATTATTGCTCATTCTTACATCAATTACTCAAGAGAATCATTATTAGAATTAATTTATCGTTATTTGGATTCTGAGGGATTACAAAATGCGGCTTCGGTTTTGCGTCGTGATGCAAATCTTTCTTCAGATTTTTCTCAGTTGCAGCAATCGACGCATTTGAATACAGATGTGACGGCTTTTTCGACAATTGGTGCACCTACTCTTGATAGTATCATACGCTCTTATTTGAGACAGCAACACGAGAAGTGTACTAACCCTATTTCTACTCTTCCTCAATTTGATTTGCGGAAAAGTCATGTATATTACCCATTGGCCGCTCCTGTTGAATACACACGGAATACTTTTAACCGTGGACTAGCGCGAAAAATGGGTATTGACTTCTCCTTACGTATGAGAAACAATGAAAATCATTTTCTCTATCGTTACCCAGGGCATTTGTTTGGTATCGCAGGTGTTGGTGATGAAATGCAAGGAGACACCATTGCTTTTTGTGACAATGGAGACACATTAGTCGTAGGGACATCAGATGGAACCATAGCCCTTTTTGATACATTTCCAGATGATTCCTCTGTGGAAAAGTTGCTGGAACAGCATCTTGTTTTTGACGATGATGGCGTATCTGGTGTTTTTGTATCTGATGACGGGGATATGTTTGCGGTAGTTAGTAGCGACTGCGAAGTAGCTGTTATGCGGCGTGATAGTCTTCCAGTTGTTAAATACTCTGTTGAGGGTAGCCGTGCTGCGCGGTTTTCTAATTCCAATACGTTTCTACTGACAACATGTGATGAACGTCACACATGCCGTCTGTATGATATCTCGGCTCAACAGGAGGTGCGTCATTTCAGTGACCCGTCTTGGGTTGGCGAAAATCTGGACAATGTGGCTACATTTGATGCTTTTTCACAGCTTATTCTTAGTGACGCCGTCCTGTGGGATATACGTTGTGGCGATAAGCCCATATACCGTTTTGACCGTTTAAATGAATCTTTTTGCAATGCCTTTCATCCTTCTAACCTTCTCGTGCTTGTCGATGAGAAAATATGGGATTTGCGGACGTTAACCATGTTACAAACGGTGCCTGCCTTTAAAAAGACCAGCAGCTTTCATATTAATTTATTTGGCCAAGTGATTTACAGTTTTCGCGAAGCTTCAAGTCTTGGGAATTCTGCCTCATCAGTTCTCTCAGTTGTAGAGAGCCACACTTTTGAGACGGTTTTTTCCACCGAGGTTCGCCCACCCTTCAGGGCGTTTGCCATTGACCCTTCAGATAGGTATTGCGCTGCGATTATTGATCAAGACATGGGTGCTGTGGTGCGGGTGTTTTCAACTTCTTCTGGGCCACTCCCCGGGCAACAGACCTTTCCTTTTCCCCAGAGCAATGGTGATAATGCGAGCGAAACAGATCTGGGAGAGAATGAAGATGGTGACGAAGACGAGTTAGACCACGACAGTTCCTCGTCCTCCAGTGACGAAGATAGTGACGATGATCCTAGTAGTGATACGGTAGATGAAGAAGGAAGCGAATTGGACCACACGGAGGCAGTGAGCGGTGCAGACTCCGAAGAGGTGAGCGATGCTTTTGAGAATGGTACGCTAACGACAACAGGGGATGAAACTAGCGGAAGCGGAGAGTCCGGTGAGACAGCCGAAGAAATGGAAGAAGTTTCTGACGAATCGATGAGTTCTACCTAAAAAGAGGATAAATAAATAAGTAAATAAATAAATATATGAAGTGATAAAAGATAACTCTTCTCCCGTTTTAAATTATGTAAAATAAAATATTTTTTTTAGTGCGTTTTTTTTCTCATTCCATTCTCTCTCTCTCTCTCTCTCCATTATTTGCCTCTACCACGTTCCATCCTGATTTTGGGTTTGCGTGTCCCCAGCGCAAGTGGAGGGATGGAGGGAGTTGAGGTACCGGGTGCTTCTAATGCAAGGAATTTATCTCATTTTTTTTTTTTTTTTTCTGCGTACAAGTGTGTTTTCTATATTTTGATTTTACTTTTGACTGTCTAGTGAATGATTGGACCATTTTGTTTGTTTGTTCATTCATGCCTCAACGGTGATAGGTAGCAATGTGGAGGAGTGACGAGGCCTTTATGTGAAGTAAATGTTCAGAATTCAGTTAATGTATATTAATTGAATTCTAACTTTGGAATGTGCCGCTTTTTTAATGAAGGCTCCAAGGTCGTCTGGGCTTTTTTTTTTTTTTTCCTTTCAAAGAGAAGCATTCATACTGAGCTGAGGGTGAGGGCCGCAGTAGCAGCATGCCTGATTTCACCCGAGACGATGAGCACAGTTTAGATTTATTGCGCAAAAAAAATGAGCTTGGTAAAATTAAAGCCGAGGAATCCAATTTGTTGCAACAACTGGAGCAGAAATATGATATATTCATTAGAGAGGGCTTGAGCAACATGTCAAGAATGGTACCACGTAGAACCACACGGCAGCTTCGACTGCGATGCGTTCTGATATCATGGCCAATGCTTTTATTGAGTCTTGGTTTATTTTTTGTTTTTACACTTTTTTTGTTGCAATTTTATGAGGGAGGAGGGGGCTGGTCTCTTTTCCTTCTCCAATGGCACATTTGTCTTGTTGGAGTGTTGGTGGTTTTGGTGGCATTGGTGTGTTGCACACAAATCCGTGAGCGTCTTTTTATTAATAGAGCCATTCTGTGCGCCTGTGTGTTGATTTCAGTGGTATTGGGGTTGTTGACGCTTGCGGTCTTGTTTCGCGGCCGTGATGAGGAATATAATCGATGGGACCGAGGTCTGTTTGTAATCTTCGGGGTGGGGGAAGGGCTGATTGTTGTGGAGTCGGCATCACTTCTATTCAACTCTTTTTAATTGCCGTGAACCATGGCTGCCTTTTTTTTTCTCCCCTTTCAAAAAAAAAAAAAAAAAATAAAGGGAACATTTGCGCTCCAAATAAAGAATGGGAAAGGAAAGATGTGGGGGAGAAATAGAAAATAGATGGTGGTGAAAGAAAAAAGGGATGGAATGAGATAGATTTCATTGGTGATGCAACTGTCGAAATTCCCGTAACAGTACTGTGCGGTCTTTTTTGGTTGTTGTTTCTTTTTTTTTTCCTTTTTTTCTATTTATTTATTTTGCTTTATTTTATTTTCATAATTGCTCCCCTTTTCTTCCGCCGTTTTTGTTTTTTAAAGTTTTTTTTTTTTTTTTTTAAGGGGCCACACCTTACCCAATCAGGGCGCCAAAGAGGGCATACATAGGCATAGCGATATATATTTATATATAAACAGAGTGAGAGGAATAGGCGGCGTGGGGGAAAAAAAAAGACACTTGGATTTGCCGTGACGCTACACTTTACGTTTTTTTTTTTTTTTTTTTCCTTCTTTCACACAAAATGGATTTTGAATTTTTTCGCACCATTCCTCTCGTGACGAGGTCCTTCCTCCTGTTGTCGGTGGCTTCCGTCATGCTAGTTTCCTTTGGTGTGGTTCATCCCGTAGAAGTTGTATTTAGTCCTCTTCTTGTGTTTCAAGAGAGACAGTACTGGAGGTTGATCACTAACTTTTTCTACTTTGGGCACCTTGATCTAAACAGCATCTTGGAGCTCCACTGGTTATGCGTGGTAAGTAGCGGCATCGAGTTGCAATACTTTCGGCGAAGAAAAGTAGATTATTGCATCACCCTTTTTGCAGGAATGTCTCTTCTTCTACTTTTTCGGTGCCTTAGGGTCGTGGATACTCCCTATTTGAGCTTCTCACTTTGCAATGCTTTGGCATATCTTTTTTCTCGTCTAATGCCTGAACAGGAAGCGAACATCTTTTTACTGGTGACGATTCCGGTACGACTGTTGCCGCTTTTTTTTCTCGCTATCGCCATCATTTTTGATATGCAGAGAAGCATCAGGCTTATTGTTGTGGAAAACCTTGTCGGACACATTCTTTGGTACTTCCTCGAGATCTTTCCATGCATTACAAGAGTGCATCCATTGCGGTTGCAAGAAATGTTTATGCAGTAAGGCAAAACGAAAGAAAAAAAAAAAAAAAAGGGGACTGCTTCATCACCGTGTGTGATGTGGTTGTTCTGCGGGTATTCCAGCTTTTACACGTTGTCATATACATCTATCTCTCTTTCTCTCTCTCTCTCTCTCTTTCTCTGTGTGTGTGTGTAGATGCACCATCGGTGTGTTGTTTGTTGCTGCGGGTTAACTTTCCACGCGGAGGGTGCCGTTGTTCTTGGTGTAGTTGTATTTCCCACCATCTGTGGTTTGTGCGTCTTTGTTCATTGCATTTTGGAAATGCATCTTGGTTTTTAATTTTGAAATAAATAATGATCACTCCCCCAGCAGAAACCCAGCAACAACAACTACAAGGGGAGAAACAGTCCCGGGAGCAGGGGGGTGGACGAACACGAACAGCAACACTAAGAAAAGATAGAAGCTCAAAAAAAAAGGGGAAGAGAGGGCGAGTGTGTGTGACAAGTTATGAACACGCTATCGGTTTGGTGCGAACGACAGACTGCATCCTTCACTAAGGCCTTTAAGAAGCGGTATGTTACTTTTGATCCGGAGTCTCGCAAGATATCGTACGCCGAGAACGAACAAAAACCCCCGAAGGGTGTCATCATTGTCACAAAGATGGTGCGGTGTTGTCAGATGATGGAAGTGAAAACATCTGATTTATTTACACTGATTGTCGACGGGAGCCATGAAGATGGAAAAGAAGATCAGTGGACTCTCCGCATGCCAAATCGTCAAATTTTTGAGGAGTGGACAGAAGTCATCGGAAATGTATGTGCAGCCGCTGGACTGATGCAGCCGTTGAACTTTGGACTTCCCTCTGTCGATCCACGAACAAATCTGCCTTTCGCTCAAGTACCGCTGGAGTATCTATTTAAGTTTGCAGTACTGGAGAAGGCTGTCATTCACTTCTTTGGTACTGTCACGCTTGTGACATCCACGACGGGTAAGGATAATCATCCGGCCCGTCATAATCTCGTGGTAGGGGATAAGGCAATTTACATTTTTACCCAGAATGCAACTATTTTGTATTGCAGCCTTATCAGTCATATTCGAAGGATATATCATGGTCCTGAAGCAACCTTTTTTGCCGTCCATGTCAAATCACCAGCGCCAGACATTGTGGTGAAGGATTTTTCAGAAGGTGCACAAGTGGCTTTTATCCTTGCTAGGTTGTTCCATGTGACGACTGGTAAAAGTCTCAGCGTCATGCCTATCAATGTTCCCACCGCTGAGGTACTTGTGGAGTCGCAACAGCTGCGGCTGAATGGGGATGAAGGGTATAAGCTTCACGTTGTTTCACCAACTACCAAGTTGCGTCTTCGTCAGGTGATTGATACGAACAAGGATGGAAGGAGTCTCAGCGGCAGTGTAAACATGAATGCAAACGGGGGAGGTCAAAAACAGGGCGTTGACAAGGCTCTCGCCGTTGAACCCACCGTCGTTGTGCCCACAGATCCTCTTACAACACTTCTCCATAAAATTGGACTGCCAGAATACGCTCCAAAACTGTTGAGTCAACATGTCGATTTAGATGTTTTGCAGTGTATGGATGTATCCGATCTAATGACCTTTGGTGTCTCAAATAAATCCCATTGCCAAATGATTCTCGACGCCGCTTTGAGATCAGACACGGCGGATCCCGAAAATGTGGGCGGTGATGCGTTGGATGATTTTGACCCGAAGGCTGGATATCCCTCTGGTAAACCCGTGGGTGGTGTAACACTAAGTGACGATGAGGACGATGAGATTGATCTTTTTGTCCCACCTCAGAGGACAGTGACGCTGGACGAGGACTCGGATGAAGAGCTTCTCCCTTCAAGAACCCCTGCTGTAAACGTGAGCAAACCACCAGCTATCGTTATTGATGATGATGACCTTTAATATTACTAGCGGAAAAGAAATTGTTTTGGATATCTTTTGATTTTGTTTTTTACATTTTACTGAATTAGTTGTACGTACACTCATATCGTTTGCTATTTTTTTTCAAAAACGCACATACAATCTCCGTGTGCGTATAGAAAAAGGTTTGTTGCCCCCCAAAAAAAAAACAAAACAAAACAAAAAACGACAACAACAACTTTTTCGCGGTAGGCTCATGCGTGGGCGACCACGAGTATTTATTTGGCTTGTTTTTCTGTGATTGTTAGTTGGTTGGGGGCGGGGTTATGCTGACGGGCGTTAAATTGACCTTAAGGACAATTGTTTATCTCTTTGGTTGTCTACACTAATTTATTTATTTATTTATTTTTTGGAATACTAATTTAAGGTTGTTTTGCAATACGGATGTCACGCGCGTTCCTAGAGCGTTGTCCTAGAAGGCATTTGGTGATACATATGGACATCAACAGGACAATTATTCAGGTTGATTCCGCTGGCCAAAGAACAATGGAAGATGCCCTTAACGGCAACATTGCAGCAAATGTATGGGGACGCTGCGAAGGAGACAAGTGGGTGGCTGTTTTAGGGCCTGAAGAAGAGGGGGATCGTTCTGGCTTGGTAACCTTCGATAAGTATGTCGATAATTCCTATACCGAGCCTCCTTTGATGCAAGAACTTCCAAAAGCCGAGAGAGATTGCATATGGCGTGATATTTCAGCGAAGAGGAGGTCGGTTGTGCGGACATTTACTCACGCTGGTCAGCCAGGCGAAAATTACGCGCAGCATGTCGAAGAACAGAGGAAAGTGTTGACCGCAGCGTCTAATTGTTCCATGGTTCCATCCTTTTTCCAACTTGTCAACACACTCTCGGAGTTAAATTGGTCATTCACCATGATTTTTCGAACATTCGGTCATGATTTGGCTAATGTGCTGCAAGAGTGGCGACAGTTTCTTTTTGGCGAACATGCTCATAAGCCGCAGGGTGTTTTGCTTAGGCGGATGAAGGAGAAATACGTTCCTGAGGCGACGGGATGTATTTTTCGTGCAGAAGATCACATTTTTTTCTGTGTTGGGCCAGACAAGGCTGCCGTGGTGCATCATCCAGAGGGGGCAGAAAAATTGTCTTCTTCTGAGATCCTGGCGCAGTTATCGGCAATGCCTTCCTGCAAAGAGGTTCACCAAACAAATTTTATGCAGCTTCATGATCAGATCTTGGAGTACACTTCAACATCAAACAATGTTGGTGGAATAGTGGACTACTATCCGTTTTGGGCCCAAGGAGCCGAACGGCGTTCTGGAGGAAAGGTGTTTCCCGTTGCCATTACCTCTTCTTCCTGTGTTACGGCCCCTGTCACGCCGCGGTTCTACGTTTTCTTTGATGACAACATCTTTATTGGGGAGGAAAAATCAATAGTGGACCTGAGAGATATAGTGACGGGGAAAAGTATCACTGATGCTGCAATAGAGCGTAAATATTGCGTTGCTGTAAATCCATACAAAGCTACTGTTGATAAGGAGTACTTTGTGGATTGCTTGGCGGGGAGAATCCGATTGCAGCTAGGGGAGGATGAGATATGCATCGATTAATCTGTTCCTTGAGGGAAGTTAAGTCTAAATGAATTTTAATGGGTGGAGTGGAACGAATTGTGTAACTTCGTCGTTGACGTACACATTGTAATTCTTTTCTTTGCATACTGGCTCTTTTGCTGATTCACGCATTAGGAGGGGAAGGAGAAGTTGACAGCGTTGTTTGTGGAGGCGCGGAATTTTGAAACCACCACCACCACCACCAAAACGCTCATTCCAATCATGACGGAGTATAAAAAATTGTGCGCCATTCTGGCGCAGCTTCGGGAGGAAGTTACATCGCTGTCCTGTGCTTTTGAAGGTGGGGAAGGACAGGACACCGTTGCGTTGCATTCATTGTCGACTTCAATTCAAAAACTAGTTACAAATGCACAGCCTCGTTTATTGAAAATACTTCGCAAAGCCACTGAGACGGACCCTAATCGCCAAATCTACAACGAGGCTATGTGTGCAGCGATAAAACAGCTATTTGACGACTTTTGCGAGTTGTTGAGTTGTCTCTTTGGGGTGCCGATGGAGGAGATGGTTCTCTCGGAGGGCAAAATAAATTTTGAGGATTCCCCATCCATTTCGTGGACGGAGGATGTGCATAACAACTATTTGCTACACCTTGCGCAAACAGAGGCATGGAAAAAACGTATTGCGACGAATATTGCGGACTTGGTGTTGTTTGAAGAGGAAACGCGCACCGTCTATTTTGCGGAGGAAAGGAAAGCGCGTGAAACATTGTTGCAGATCAAAAGAAATGAGAAGACTAATATTCTGCACATGTTGAAGGAGAGAGAGGCGGCAAAGTGGGAGGCTGAGGTGCGGCGTCGCAATGATGAACACAAGGGGCTAATGAATGCCTCTAGTTTTTACGGGGTTCAAAACATTGCGACGGTATTGTTACGTATTCCAGAGCCGTTTCGGAAGCTTCTGGCGGGAAACATGGCTCAGCTTGTACGGGCTCTCCGCACAACACCAGAGGACCCCAACATTCGACGAATTCGATGTAACAATAGGAGGGTAATGATGGATTATAGTCATGTTGTCTTCTGTGGTGAGTGCGAAACGTGTCGGATACTAGTCGCTGCAGCTGAAATTTTGTGGTATATAATGGGATATCGGGTGGAGTACTCGACCGCACCTACATCTTCTCTTCGCACTGTCATTGAAAATAACCCACCGATTCTGTTGCCATGTGGCCGTTACGCATCAGAACATGCCATCGCGGTGATTGGATTTGAGGAGTACTCCGAGCGTTTCTTCACCCTCCATGAGCCCGATCCCATGCAAGATTCCGATGAGTGGATGGTTTGGTACGCAACGCTGGAGGCGTTGTTAGCACGTCTCGAGGATTGTTTAGTTTAGTCCAACGCTGAGAGAGAGAGGGCCGACGTTTTTCTGAGGTGGAGTTGGGGTTTTTTTTTCTGGGGGCTGGGGCGGTGAGCCATCAGACATATGTTGTGATTGCAGAGATCGTGTGCGTTCTTTTTTATTTCTTTGTGATTTTGAAGGGAATTTAAGGTATAGGCTATATTATTTCCCCTCCCCTCTCCTGTAAAAGATAAATCTCTGTAATTTGATTTCCATACACTTTTGAGGTGTGAGTCATAATAATAGCAGTAGCCACGGCTATCAACAGTACACACCTCTCACAACCTAAAAAAACAACAAGAAGAGGAAGAAGAAAAGAAAAAAAAAAGAAAGAAAAAAGGACGGAAAGATCAGTCCGTTAGCGGGGTTATGTATGGCACAAGCAAAATTCAGGGAGGGGGATTAAGAGGTTCTCTGCATTATTGCACCCAGCAGCGATTTCTTCCTTCAGCAAATAGAACCCCCGGCTTCGTAAATGCGCGAGGAAAGGTCACGGCCAGCAAAGCGGCAACTTCCTCCGAATACCACGCCGCCTACTTGACAGAGTACGAGAAAATCGAGATTAGGGGATACAAAGATGTATACTACGTGGGACAGAATTGTGAGCGTAAAATTCAGGCCCCAGTGGAGGGCGGCTACAACTGCGGCTACGATGACGAACGAGGGGATTACACAATAATGCTGCATGATCATATAGCCTACCGCTACGAGGTGCTGGGCACTCTGGGGAGTGGGTCCTTTGGTCAGGTCGTTAAGGTCGCCGATCACCAGAATGGCACTACAGTTGCACTGAAGATTATAAGAAACAAGAAACGCTTTATGTCACAGGCAAAAATTGAGGTGCAAATTCTGTCACACCTTCGAAGGGGCGACCCTAATGGAATTTACGGAATTGTTCAAATGCTTGACAGCTTTACTTTTCGGTCTCATGTGTGCATTACATACGAGCTTTTATCTATCAATCTATATGAGCACCTAAAGCAACGCAATTTTCATCCGTTATCGCTGAGCGCCGTCCGCAAGATTGGGGCCGGAGTATTAGTCTCGCTCTCTTATATATGGCGTGAGAATATTATCCACTGTGACTTGAAGCCAGAGAACATCCTCCTTAAAACGCCTGATAGGGCAACGGTGAAGGTGATTGATTTTGGATCTTCCTGCTTTGAGAACGCTCGCATCTATACATATATCCAGTCGCGTTTCTATCGCGCACCCGAGGTTATATTAGGCTGTTCATACACCAAACATATCGACCTTTGGAGTTATGGCTGTGTGCTGTGCGAGCTAGCCACAGGAGTTCCCATTTTTCCGGGAGAGAGCGAACAAGATCAGCTGGGCTGCATCATGGAGTACCTTGGAGCCCCTCCACATGAGCTGATACTTCAATCCTCACGCAAGCAAGAGCTATTTGATGTTAATAACGGTTATGCCCCAAAGTTAGTTCCCAACAGCAGGCGGAAAATACGATACCCAGGGACAAGGTCCCTCGCGGCGTTTCTCGGTCTTCCTCAAGACGATGGCTTTGTTAGTTTTGTCAGGCAATTTCTGTGCTGGATCCCGGAAGAGCGGGTTTCCCCGCGTAGGGCGATGCGTCATCCGTGGATTGCCGACATATTTGAAGGACCGCCACCGCCCTTGTCGCAGGTGAGCAAGACCCAAACAAATTTGGCAGTACGTGCGGCCATTTCCAATGCCCACCGCATCACAGGGCAACCTTTGAAAGTGCCGCATCTCCCAAAGATTGGTGAGCACTGAGGCGAAATAAAGCTCTTATTTGGGGCGTTTCTTTTTTTCATTCTTCCCCTTCCAACCTTGTTGTTATTATTTGGTTTTGCCCCTCTCCCTCCCTCTTTTTTTTTTTTTTTTTTTTTTTTTATGCTGTAATTTTTCTTTGGCACATTGCTATGGTGGATGCCTTTGACGTGTACTGTAAATATTTATAGGTGGATAAATGGCAGGGATGCTTTTAGGAAAGATGGAAGGAGGGAAGAAAAAAGCGGCGGAGTCCCCATCGGGGGGTTGCAGGATAGGGAATGATAAAAACAAAACAAACAAAAAGGAACATATTAAAAACGAATGCAGGCATGTGCCCGCATGCATATATATATATATGTATCTATTTCCGGTATCTATTGGGCATGAAGGCATAACGTTACCGTATGCTTATGATATCACGAATTATTGTTTCTTTTTGTTACTCATCCTTGCGGGTTTTAATTGACTTATTTTGATCCTTTTTTTTTTTTTTTCCATATATATATCTATATATATATATATATCATATGTTTTTTTCTTACTTCTCCTTTTTTTTTTTTTTTCTTTTTCTTCTTCTTATTTCCAACCTGTTTATTTGACTCAATGATTGCTGGATTCACCTGAGAGGTCCACGCACATGACAGAGATGTTGGCCGGGGAAAAGCACCAAGAAGCAACCACAAATAAATATATAAATATACCTGTATGTATATATGCATATATACACTTGTATGTATAAGAAAAAAAAAAAGCGCATGCTACGTTTATATTTGGTATTATTTCTTTGCGTTATATTCGCATCCACCTTTTTTTTTGTGGTTTTTTTTTTTTTGTTTCTTGTTGTGTTAGGCATTGCACGCGCGTGCCCACGCATGCTTACATTTACTGAAGAAACGTAGTAAGAGGCGAGGGTATCTGAAGGACGGTGCTTCTTGCCACTGCCACTACCGCTGTATTTGCTGTGTGCCGGGAAAGAGTCTTCTTTTTCTCACTTTCTCTTTCAGTCTTGTCTGTAGTCTGCGTGACGTTGGTCTTTTAATTCTCGCCCTCTCTCTCTCTCCCTCCTCCTCCCAACTTCCTAAATTTGCACCACAAGGGGCCCAGCAAATTGAGTTAGTAGGATCGACGTAAACCGAGTAACACACGCATAGCTGTGTGCCTCATTATTAATTACTAATTACTGATTTATTTATTTATTTATTTGTTTGTTTTTGTGATGACCCTTGCGGCAGAACTTTTTGCGAAGATTGAGGCGGCGAAAGTGGCTTCACGCGTGTTGCTTTTCTCTCTGGCTGTAATGCTGTTCCATGGCATCTATCAACGAATGCGGTCACACCAGGAGTCCACGCACCCGCGGAGGCTTGTTAGAAGACTCAGCGAGCCCCGCAAGCGACCCGGCGTTCATTTTGACAGAACACTTCTTCGTCGTATTATTGAACTTCTACGCGTCTGTTTTCCCCGCATAGTTTCTGCAGAATCGGGGTTGGTGCTCTTGCTGACATCTCTCCTTATGCTCCGTACCACGTTAACGCTGACGTTTTCCCAAATATCTGCAAGCAACACCAAGGCACTTATGCAAAAAAATTTTAGGCACTTTATTTTTGGTTTGCTCGATGTTGCGGTGTACGCCATCCCTGCTACAATCACTGGCGTTGGTATTAATTACGCGACTGCCACGCTGGAGCAATGTTTTCGTGGGAACTTGCAGAACGCCCTCCACCAGGAATACTTTGAGGGCTGCAAGATGTATGATTTGGCAATAAAAGGCCTTGTGGACAATCCGGCTCATCGCGTGACACACGATGTGCAGCGGTTCTGTAGCGAGTTATCAGGTCTTTTTCCTGCCGTAATAAAGCCGATTTTGGATATCGCCATCTTTTCTTCGGCGCTGGCTGGTTTTGGCGGTTATGGGGTTCCGCTTGTAATGATGTTGTACTACGCGTTTGTTGCCTTGATGTTTCGCATGCTGTTGCCGAACTTTGCGGGTTGGGTAGCACGAAGTCGGGAAAAGGAGGGTAATTTGCGTCTTCTGCACACACAATTAATTCAACACGCGGAGGAGGTGGCGTTTTATCGTGGCGCGGAGATAGAAGGCGAAAATGCCGAGCGGCTTTTGGAATCATTTATTTGCGTGGAACGACGCCTAAAACGGGCGAAGTGGTGGAGCACCTTTATAAATGGCATATTGGTCAAGTATGCTGCGACTGGCGTTGGTTACGCCGTGTGTGCCGTTGTGGTTGCCCGGGAGAAGGGCCGTCTAGACGCGGCGGCATTGACACAAGTCTTCGTTCGTTGCACGCAGCTCTACATTCCACTCTCTCTGGCGATGGGAAGATTGTTGTCACTCCACCTCAAGGTTAGCTCATTGTGTAGCAGTGCCCATCGTGTGGGGGAGCTGCGAGATGTGCTTTCCGCCATGGAGGGAGTAGACCAGGGTGCCTTATCAAAGATAGTGGAAATACCAAATGGCGATGAAATTGTGTTTAGAGATGTGGTCATCGTTTCCCCCAGCGATCAAATTGTGTTGCTTGATTATACGGCAACTTTTAAGGCTGGACGCCACCTACTGATCATGGGTTGCAACGGGGCTGGTAAGACAGCTCTCCTGCGGACGCTCTGTGGGTTATGGCCACTGCGGAGTGGCACTGTGGAGCGGCCCGCCATGCCTGAGCTGATGTTCTTGACGCAGCGGACCTATCTTCCACCAGGCACACTTCGTACACAACTTATCTACCCTGCAGTGGAGGGAGAGGAGCAGGCCCGCAGAATGCCCGACGAGATGCTCCTGCAACTTGCAGCAGAGGTCGGCCTGAATGGTGTTGTGGAGCGTGAGGGAGGATTAGATGCTGAGAAGGAGTGGGGTGAAGTTTTTTCTGGTGGTGAGCGACAACGCATTTCTATCGTCCGTGCCATGTGTCATTGCCCCACCTTTGTTTTTCTCGACGAATGCACCAGTGCCATTTCGCAGGACGTAGAGCCTGCTTTGTATGAGTTGCTGCAGCTTCGCGGTGTGACTTTGGTTACTGTTTCCCATCGTGAGGCATTGAAGGCTCTCCACCATGAGACTTTGATTTTGGACGGCATGGGCGGTTACAACATGTCCGTGCTGGGAGATTCCCAATAAGGCGTTTCCTGCACGAAACCCTGCATCTGTAGACACACATACATGAAGGCCTCCATTAGTGGCAACGGAGAGACACTACTGCGGGTCATGCTGACGAGTCGTGATGAAATAAAAAGGGGAAAAAGTTGGGTTGGATATCAGAAATGGTTTCACAAACGCAACTTCCGTTTGTCTTTTTGACCCATCACCTATTATTATTATTATTATTATTATTACTATTGACTTTAATATTTGTTTGCTGCCCCCTCTTGTTGATTTTTCTCTCTCTCTCTCTCTCTTTCTTTTTTTTTTTTTTACTGCGTCATTTCTGCTCCACACGAAGTCACAGGTCAAGAGAAGAGGAGAGCACACCGATTACCGCGTGCGCAGGTAAGGACGGCCTTCATCATGTCCACCATTTACAACTTCAAGGCGATGACCGTCGTCCCGACATACAAGGATTTCATGGACATCGTGCTTTCCAAGACGCAGCGTAAGACTCCCACTGTGGTGCACAAGGGTTACCATATTTCGCGTATTCGCCAGTTTTACATGCGGAAGGTAAAATTCACCCAAAAAACAATCAATGAGAAGCTCACACATGTTTTGTTGGAATTTCCGCGCATGGATGACATTCATCCATTTTACGGCGACCTTATGCACGTGCTGTATGATCGTGATCACTACAAGGTGGCACTGGGTCAAGTGGGGGCTGTCCGACATATGGTGGACAATATTGGCAGGGATTATGTGCGTCTGCTGAAGTACGGCGATTCGCTCTATCGATGTAAGCAGCTGAAACGCGCCGCACTTGGACGCATGGCAACTGCCTGCAAGAAACTTAGCAGTGCCATGGTATACTTGGAGAAGGTGCGACAACACATGTCCCGTTTGCCATCTATTGATCCAAACGCCCGAACGCTTCTTATTACTGGGTTCCCGAACGTTGGGAAGTCAAGTTTTATGAACAAAGTAACCCGTGCTGATGTGGAGGTGCAGCCGTACGCCTTTACAACGAAGTCTCTTTTTGTTGGCCACACCGATTACAAGTACACCAGTTGGCAAGTAATTGATACACCCGGTATTCTTGACCACTCCCTTGAGGAACGTAATGTCATTGAGATGCAGGCAATTACGGCATTGGCTCACCTTCGTGCGTGCATTCTTTTTTTCATGGATCTTAGTACCCACTGTGGATATACAATTGCCCAGCAGCTCTCGCTGTTTCAATCCATCGGGCCGCTCTTTACAGGAAAGCCGGTTGTTGTTGTTTTCAACAAGAGTGACGTATGCACCATTGATGATGTATCAACAGAGGAGCAGTCTCTTATCATGAAGGCCATTGAAGAGGCCGGTGCAAAGTGGATCACAACCAGCACTCTAACCGACTTTGGCGTCGGGGACCTAAAGACGCTGGCATGTGAGACACTACTGGTGCACCGCTCTGAGCAGAAGGAGGGCAGTGGGCGCTTTCAGGCGATTCAGAACCGTCTTTACTGCGCTTTGCCTCAAAAACGAGACAATATGGAGCGACCAGCTTACGTTCCAACGTCGGTGAAAAAGGAACAGGAGGAATGCGACGCATCGGGCCCGGCTCGTGTTCGCCGAAAGACAGAGAGAGACTACGAGTGGGAAAACGGTGGACCAGGACGGTATCAGCCCAATGAACGTAAAACGTGGGACTTGGAGGATCCAGAATGGAACAGTGACATCATTCCCGACATTATGGATGGTCACAACATCTATGACCACATTGATCCGGACATTCACGATCGACTTTTGGAGTTGGAGGCGGAAGAAGATGCGCGTTTGCAGGAAGTGGAGATGGAGGCTTCAAAGAAGCGCCCACAGTACGAGTTGGATGACGCCACGTTGGAGGCAGTGCGCTTCATCAAGGAAAAGGTTAAGGTGTTGAAAATGGAGCGGGCGATGAAGAACCCCGCCGTTCGTCGCACCAAACAACAGTCAGATGCGATTAAAAAGTTCAACGGGCGCACAGGTAGTCAGGACGCTCGTTCGGCAACACCTGCAGCTCCAGCTTCTACCGCTGGTAAAAAGCGGGGTCGTTCCATCTCTGTTGCACAGGAAGCAATCATACGCGATCGTTCCGGCTCAACCCACGTTTCTACGAAAACCACGCGTGGCATTAGCTCTCGTTCCGCAAGCCGTGAGCGTTCCCTAAGCGTGAGCCGAGGGGAGGGCTACAGGGATATCAATGAAAAGCTCCGTGCGGTGAAGCTCAGTAAGGTGAAGTCACGCTCACGCAACCGTCAGGGCAGGAAGGGCGAGGGTGATCGCGACACACCAAACCTCCGTCCGAAGCATCTCTTTACAGGAAAGGTAAAGGTGAACGGCAAACGCGACAGACGGTAGGGAGGCACTGTTGGGAAGAGGAAAAAGGGAGATAAGGAAGAAACAGTAGACACGTCGATTAATACTGTACGCAACTTGAGAAAGGAAGCTGTGGGCAAACCCATTTCTCTGCACTCTCATTTTTGTTTTTTCTCCTTCGTTTCTCCTTTTTTTTTTTTTCTTCTTGCTTTAATCTCTTCTTTTCCTTATGCATCATCATGAGTTGACCTGTCGTTTGGCAGGCGGGAACGCGATGGGGTGACGAGGAGGAGGTGGGAGAAGGGGAGGGCGCAGGGAAATTTCCGTTGGGCCTTCACCACGTTAAGCCAGGATGAGACGTGTGGAGCACGGTGCTGTGACCACTTCTATTCTCCAAGCGAATTGTAAGACAATAACGCCATGAGGACACACGCGCACACACAAAGCAACGGCAAAAACAACAAAAACCGAACCGAGAACAGAAGAAAAGAGAAAAGAAATCAACAAGGAACAGCAACAAAAAGTAAAGGAGTAAAAATTAGAAGGTGTGTAAGAAATAATAAAAAAGAAAAAAACTGTGTGTGTGGAGAAAACAGTTGCTAACTTTTTTTTTTTTAATTAATATTCCATGGGGTTGCGGTTTTTTTTTTTTTTTTTGTTTGATAGGCACCGTGAAAGTTATGGTCGGCCAATGAAGCGATTTCTTGCACTTTGAGCTTATGTTTCCTACTTTTTTTTCTTTTTTTTTGCCTTTCTTTTTCTTTTTTTCCTTGATTTCCTTACATACATGTATGCCCACTTGTTGTTGGGCGGGTGTGAAGGAGAAGGAACAGCAGCAAAGGGCGTGTCCGTCTCTCCCTCTCCCTCTGTACTTTTGGCATTTCTTTGGCGGCCATGTTTGTGCTCCCCGGAATGAAATTGCCGCCTGAGGGCCTGCGGGTGTCGCGCAGCAGCCTGCCAACGGCAGCGTCGTCCGATCCACCGATGTCCCAGCTGCTGCTGTCGTACTGGGGACTTCCATTCTACAGCGAGCTCCCAGAGGAGGGCCAGGCGCGCACGGAGATAATGGAGTCGTATTTGTTGGGTTTGGCAGGCCTGTTGCAGCTGCGCAATGCCTCTTTGAAAGAAGCCTTTGACAGGTTCGTTGCGAGTTTACTGCACGATGAGGCAGTAGAGCGGGGATTCATTGAGGAGGACGCCAACCTTCTTGCGTGGAGGAGTTTTATAGACTACACATTTCTGGAGGCGCTGGAGCGTTTGAAGAACAGGGAACGGAGGGCACGTTTGCACATCATCGATACTTACTTTTTTTTTGCCCTGAGGGCATTAGGGCGCCTTGAGACTCTCGACCGACAGCACGTAGCAACACAGTTTTTGGACAGCCTCTTTTTAAAGCGTTGCCAGTTTTCTCCAGGGTGGATGTGGCGGCGAGTCCCGCCTTTGCCTGACGAAGTTTATGCCGAGTCTACAAGAGCAGCTGAACCCCCATGGGCTATTACCCTTTTCGCAAACGAGAGTTCAGCCCGAAAATGTCTTGTGGAGCAATTTTACGCGGAATTTCGTTTTTCGATAGAAGTATTTGCGACTTCGGTGAAGTGGCGTGTTCACAATAGGCAGGCACTTCAACTAGCCTCAATGCGAGACTCCATGCTGAATAAGCAGGCTACTGTCATTCAGTCCGTCTTTCGGGGGTATCGTGAGCGGAAGCGGCATCGACATTGTGCAGCAGCATGAGCCATTACGTGAAGAATATGTAATGATTTTTGATTCCTTTTTTTTTTTTTTTTGAAAATATCTTACGAATTTTTATTACAATTTTTTTTGTGTGTGAACGGAAGACCTATTTAAACTTCTTTTTTGGCTTTTTAATGTGCATTGTTCTTTTATTTGTTGTTTCTGCGTTAGGGCAAAATAAAGGAAAAGGGGAAAAACAAAAACAAAAGCAGGGTGAGAGAGAGAGAGGAACTTAGGGAATAAACAAACTCAGTGCTACTTCTGTAGTGCTGTTTTTTTCTTGTATAAATATAAATATAAATATAAATATATATTTCTTTTGGCACCCCTTTTTTAAATGGGCGCTCTGTCACGCGGGGGTTTTTTCTTTGTGAGCGGGAAGGGGCAATTGTTTCTGCTAGAGAAGGGCACACAACAGGAGGCGCAGATTGTATACGGCGGCGAGGTGGTTGCTTTTGCGTGCAGAGAGGATGAGCGCATCATGGCGTTGGCGTTTCCGCCTTCATCCGGCCAGGATCGGTGTGTTGTTCGATTGTACACTTTTGCGGACAATGAGCTTGGCGACGCGTTGGGCGAGGTGATGACTGCGCGGGTGACGCAGTTGCTTTGGGCAGGGCTGCGGCATCTTGTGATGTGCGGCCCCGCCGGCTGTTCAATATACTTGTGCGAGAGTGGAAAGCTTAAATTCTTTGTTTCTGATCCCGCTACCATTGCCCTTTTTCAGGGGAATCGTCTGGGGCTGTTGCATGGGCCGACCCAAATCGTGCAGTACTGGAATTTGGATAAGAATCGCATGGTAGACTCCGTCAATTTGTCTCTACAGGACCGTCGCCTGATTACTGTTGTTGGTGTGGGGTACTTTGCGTTGGCACTCTACAACGATGGGTCGGTTCAGGCTTTTTACGTGACCAAAAGCAGTGTCAAAAAGATTGGGCAATTTGATCAACTTTTCCCCATCGCCCAAGCGGGTGTGGAGAAGGGGGGCGCATCATCGCTTCTGCTGGCATGCTCACTTTCGTCCCGCAAGGTGCTCGTGGGGTTGCGTGGCGGTGACACTATTCACAAGCTGGAGTACAAGAATGAAAAGGTGTTGGTTGACAGCGCGCAGGAGAAGCTCGCGTCACCCCACGTGCTCTTGGCAATCTCACTTAATGGCCGACGTTGTCTGGCACTCAACAGGGAAACCAATAAATACCACGCCCTATTGATGAATTTTAGTGCTCCGAAGCTGCCGGCGGCGGAAGAGAGCGTAGCAATTAAATCCAGCGTGAATTGCGAGAAGGCTGAAAAGAGAGCCACCCTAGGAGTTGAACCTGTGGACAAACGCCCCGTGGTGGCATCTGCTGTCGGGATCAACTCTGCACCTCCCGACTTTTCGGGAGGTGCGGGATCTAAGAGACTGACGCCGAATCACGGCACTGAGGGCGGTGGAACTCCCCAGTGGGGCATTACTAATGGGGCAACGCTAGCGCTTGTTGGAGTTAGTTTGGCGGCACTTTTTGTACTGGTCCGCCGGATCATTTCCTTCTAACAGTAGACCTTAGAGTGCAGATGGCACCTTCACCTGGCGTTTATCGTTGCCGTGACATCAACTGCAGCAGGACAGCGCTTAGATCTGTTGAAACAACGGCTTTTTTTTTTTGTTTATGTGTCGCTGCACATGAATTGCAATGCCATGGAAATCACAGACTGAACTTAACACGTGATAAAAAAAAAAAAAGAAGGGAGGCGACAAAAAAGAGAGGCATAGTCCAAGCAAAGGGGCATGGAGAAAATGGCGTAGGATAAATGCTGGGGAAATGCCAGCTTTTCGGAATTGCATTCCACCAACTGACATAATGGCGTAAGCGTGTCGTTTGGTCTATTGCTTCTTTTTGGCTTTTTGCATTTGCTCCTTTCTGAAACCTTTTAGTGCACTTTTTTTTTTTTTTTCTCCCTGTGTGTGTATGTGTTTCTGTGCCCGAAGAAGGGAAGACGGGCATCTTGCAACCAGTAAGCTGCGTCGCTTTCATTGCAATTAGAATAAAACGGCGGTTAAACTTATGCTCTGGAAATTGTCAATTGAGTCCAGAATTAATGATTCACGAACAAAGGAGGAAATCGGCCAAACTGAATTGGGACAAGACGCAGACATCTTACACTGTGCCGGACGGAGGCGATGGTTCTAAGAGTCGAGCAGGTGCCAAAACCATGCGGAAGGACACGGAGAAGGGGAATGAACGTGCAGAAGAGGCCACTCACGCCGAAAGGCGCATCAAAGTGGGCGGGACGGTGTACTCTCGGGTGAAGCGGCATGATGAATCAGGGGCCTTTGGTGGCGGCCAGGTTTCAGTGTGGAAACAAGAGGGGGGGACGGTGGGAGATGAATGGGGGGAAATGACGCTGGAGAGCGGTGACCTGGTTTACGCCAAGTGGGACAACCCAGCAGTCACACGATGGCAACTGCCCGAAAACTCGTCGGTGTATGGCCACGCAGAGAAGGTGCAGAAGACATTTAATGCCGCAAAGGAGTGGCCCGAAACAGAGCAGACTGTTGTGCGGCTGGCGGCAGCGAAGGCGTTGGACGAATGTTTTGTTTCCTTCGCTGACATGGACGGCGCCACGGAGGTGGAAAGGTCGCGTATGGTTCAGAACATTGCCAATGAGTACATGGCAACAAGCGGCGCGCAAAAGTATGATGCTGAAAAATCGCAAAAATGGCTAAGTCGGGCCGCCGTGAGGGAGTGTGAGCTCTTCTTAGGAAGGCGGCATGCGCCAGAGACTGCAAAAGAATCGACGAGAGAGCATGCCGCCACATCGCTGCAGCAGGAAAAGCTTGACCGCAAAGGGCACGCTTTAAGCAAAGCGGGAGAAAAGTCTCCTATCGCCACGACCACTGCCGCTGCGTCGGTGCAGAAGGGAAGGAGCAACGAGAAAAAAAGTGACGAGTTTTTTTCATCACCTTCGTCACCTTTTCTTCCACGGGCACGTTTTTTACGGAATCCATATTATGCTGCTCTCTTGCTTTGTCCATCCGCACGTCGTGGTTGTATCGAATCTCGGCTAGAGGCGACAACCTTTGCAGCTGCTGGTTCAGGAGAAGTCCGTGTCCTGTGCGCCGTTACCGTTTACGAGGGACGTGAAGGCCCTAAAAAACACTTGTTTGTCGTTGCGCGGGACTGGACGGGGGCGTTTTGTTTTTTTGTACTGGAACCATTTGATGTTGCGACAGAGGCCGTTGTTCTTTACACCTACCCATTGCTGGGCTCAGTGGAGATGAATCTTGATTCGCACCAGAGAGTCTCATTTCACGTGGATGGGGTGGAGTTTTTGGCCTCTTTCAAGGACAAGGAAACAGCCAGTTGGCTCCACGACGCTTTAAAAGCAGCAATGGCTTCCATGTACGGAGAAGGCAATGATTGTGATCGAGTTGTAAGGATGCGAGCGTATAGCGTGGAATTCGCTTCCCATTACACCTCTGAAAGAGATCTCATGTTATTTGAGGTGGTGAACACCATTCTCTCTGCAACTGATTGCAGTGACAATTTGATGAAGAATAATTTTGCTCAATTGCGTCGATGCCTGATGAAAAAAGAGGGAAGAGACAAGGTGGCACTGCAGTGGCTCAATTCCATGAAAATGTTGACTACCAAAGACGGTGTTTCCATCTCTGCAGCGTCTGTGGTGAATCATTTGCGTGTGGTGGAGGAAATTATTCAATGCCCCACTCCATACATTGATGCGACGCTCTCCCAAAGACTGTATGAAGGCTTGGAGGAGATGGGGAGGCGCATTCCTAAAACGATGGCAACGTGCTCACATCTTGCTGTTCTTCTCGAGTACACCGATCGCGTTATGCTGAAATGGAGCTCAAGATACGAAACTCCAGACGTTTTATTTGAACCGTGTTTTAAGCCCGAGAGTCACTCGCCGGCTGCTTTTTACGAGGCCTCACTGCTGGAAGAGAGGCGAGCACGGGGTGCAGAATACCGTCTTCCACCGGGCATATACTTGGCGGTGATCTGCTTCTGTGGCGAGAGGGTTTTTACGAATAAGGCTGGGGGCTGGATTGCGGAGGTCATTCAGCGCGAACCCACGCATGAGGAAATCCAACAAGTCGCAGCGGATTCGGAGAACTATCGGTGGGTGCTTCGCGTTGGTGGAACCGATGCGAATTGGGCTGAGGGGGAGAATCTTGAAAAGTGGGAAGCCCTCTACAAGGAGCGCGGTGGGGAGTCATTCAAGGCTCGCTTTCTACGAGCTGCTAGACGTCTAAAAGAAAGAAGGGTGTTTCCCAGACTAGGATGCGTTTTTGATACCCCAATTTTTCAGGCCGAGGTCGGAACAACTTTGATTCTCACTCTCTGCGAGGTGGAGTCCGAGGCAGCGATTTCACCTGCTGCGGGCGTATGGCGTGATATCCGCGAATTGGAGCTGCGCGCGTACACGCAGACTTTGATGTGCTCGGAGAATGCGCGCGTGGCATTTTTGCCCACTGGCTATCGCCGTTGTGTCCGCTACCTGAACGCTGCGGTCCATTATCAAAAGAGCCTCACACAACGTCTGTCGCCGGGTTTTTACGTGGGGTTTTTTCTTGCCTCGGTGAACGCGGAAGGGGCATTGATGCTTGTCCCCGAGTGCAATCGAAACCTGCCGCCGTTGGTGAAGGTAAGTGGAGAACATCCGTCATTGTTACAATGGCGATGGCTGCAAAGTTTAAATTACCGACATAAAACAACACAAACCTTTGGTTTACCCACTGTGGCGGATATTTCTGTCCCTTTGGATGAGCGTGCGCCGTTTGAAAGCAAAGTAGGGTACGCAATAAAGGCGTTAGAGACCGCTGTAGGGCTGAAGATACAACAGTTTTATGACTTGGAGCTTTTTGCGTTGGATGAGGAGCAGACTATTCACGCCTTCTTTGCCGTGTCTTACTATCCACCACCGTTGCAAGACATTGAGAGAGTTCCTGAGCCGCCCAAAGGTATTGTGCCCATGACATTTAAGCTTGTACGTTTGGTCGATGATCACCACCAGCGGCGCTACTGGAGTGGTGTGTATGGGTTTATTGCCGATGAGGCAGATCGCAATTATCGGATTTTGTGCTCCACAACACAGCCTTTCACATCGGACGAGTCGATCCGCCTGAATATTACAAGTGAAACGATGTTCCATGCGATGGAGTTAGAAAAATACGCACTCTTATTCAGCTGGGCAAGGACTCTTGCCATTTGGGCTGAGACAGATGGCCGGACGCTTGTGCAGCGCTACGCAGGAAAGCTTTTGTGGAACTCAGGAACAAATACGGAGGATGCGGGGGAAGTGGAGGAAGTTGAATATCCTGGCGTCTCCCTCTCTGTGGAGGAGGTGGTGGATGTCGCTGTGTCAAACCAGGCGGCTGCAACAGATCCGAAGACGTTTGAGATGAAATCTTTGTTGCTGCAGCTTAGATCTACCGGTAAAAAGGATTGCGCGGCTGTTCTGCAGCGTCTTCGGGAAATGGACGACGCCGTCAGGGAAGGCTGCCCAAGCCATATCGCCCAGATGGAGGATGTGAACAAACTGTCACTGACGTTGCGTGGCTTTGATGAAGCACCACCGGATGGTGGGTTCTTTGCTGCGCGTTCTGCCACTGTGTACGAGCTTCCTTGCACACTGATGGAGTTTGTTTCGGGTGAGAACAAAGTTGAAGATTCTTACCTCTTTGCCCGTGAGATTGTTGAAGATCTGATTGAGTTGGCTGCAGCAGGCGGGACTGTTGCAGATTTCGGGCGCATTGCAGAAACGATGGTATCATGTGTTGAAGCTGCTGAGAACATGGTGGATGGGGCCGCGCTAGAAGCCTTACGTGTGGAGGCGGAGGAGAAGGCTTGGGCCGAGCGAGAGCAGTTCATAAGGAAGTGGATTGAGATGTTCAGGGCGAGGCCTATTAAATCCATGTTTGATGAGGCGTTGGATGCGTCGGTGGAGGGTCCAGAGCCGCTCTTTCACGCAGGCTCCTCACAATACATTGGAAGCGGCAGCGACGGACTTCGCGTGTGCCTCGCACGTGCTGCAACGGACGCCAACCAGCTGCAGGAGCTTTTGCGTGTCGCCAACTCTGCTTTGCATGGCCTAGAGTTGGCTCAGTGCATCCACGCTTACAACGACGCTCTTCATAAGAGTGAAAAGACTTTCCTCAGTGACGAACCTGGCAAAGAGGAGAAGAAGGTGATCCCAGGAAAAGCCGCCACCGCTACCATCTCTGCCACTCCACAGCAAATTGTGACTCTTGTTTCTAAGGAGCGGCGCGAAATTTATTTGTATTCAATGGATCCTTTGCGTTGTTTGCTGCTGCAGGGTGAGCAGCCACGTGTATCATTTCCGGAGATTGGCTATGCCGAGCTGAAAGTGCTTGGAGATCATATGAATGCGCCAGAGCAAGAGGTCGCCGCACAGCTGCGCGATATGCATCCGACGGACGAGAGAGAGAGGCGGAATTTGCTGAATATGTCAATAGAACTGCAAACACCTCTCATTGCCATTCGGCTTTTACCTTTGGTGTACTGCAGCGAAACGGGTCATTTTGGTGAAGAAGAAGCGAACGGTGTTCGGAAAGCAATAAACGGCATGCAATTTTTATTTTTGTACGGCGTACGAGATTGGCTTCGGATGGAGTCGCTGGGCGGCCCTGCAGTCGTTGGCGGCTTTGATGTTCTCTGGTGGTTGCGTTACCTCCAGGAGGTGGGTGAGGGAGAGGAGGCGTACTGTAGCTACAGCGGCTCCTGGAAGCAGTTGTACGCGGAGACACGCGTCCGTGTGCTGCTTTCTCTTGGCGTGGGCCACGTCACAGAGGAGGAGTTGCAGCTTTGGATGGAGGGGCTTGGCCGCCTTGTGGCGTACATGAGTTTCAAGGGAAAAGCGAATGTCACAGACGCGGAGGTGAAGATTTTGATAGAGACATGCCCGCTGTTGCAGTCGCTGGATCTCTCCGGAACTACCGTGACCGATGAGTCTGTGCGTCTCTTGTGCAGTAGATGCAAGCGACTACTGGAATGCAGCGTGACGGGGTGTCGTATTTCACGTGAGGCAGAAATGTGGCTGAATGATTTATGCAGGAAAAATGCCCAGAATTTGTAGTAAAGTGGCATTTGTCTCTTTTATTTATTTATTTCTCTTTTGTCACTTTTATCGTATTTTTCTTTAATTTTTCTCTCTTCTTATATATATTGTTATATTTGTGTGTGTGTGCGTCTGTTTCTCCCTTTTTAAATTTCAATTATTGTGTTGTGCAATTCTCTGCGGTTTCTATTCAGCACCCACCCATTTTATCCACCCGCATGCACACATGAATGCGCTGCGTCATCTCTTTTTTCTTTTTTTTTCTTTTTTTTTGAGGTGGTTGTTTGCAGCTTGCCGTGGGCGGAAGGAACGACGGCGGCGGCGATGGCCATGGCGAGGCAGGAGTCACTGAAGGAGGCAATGCGCGAGGTGCTGGAGACGAAGGGCGTGATGGATCACGTCAAGGCGGAACTGCGTGCTGCGATTTTTCACGCGTTGCAGGACTCGTCCGCGCATGAAGACGGCGCGTCATCGAACAGACCGCCGGTTCCGCCGGAGAATTTGCTGCTCAACGAGTTGATCAAAGAGTACATGGCGTTCAACGGGATGGAACACTCGCTGTCGGTCTTCCGCGTGGAGTCTGGCTCGGCGAAGAACACATCGGCGCCTGTTCCGCGTGCTGTTCTTGCCGCGCAGTTGAACATGACCGGAGCACCAGCGTCGGTGCCGCTTTTGTACGCCATGCTGCATGAGTCACGCGCCGCGGCAGACGGATAGAGAGTGAAGACGGGGGAAAATTTTTTTTTTTTATGTCTTTTTTTTGTTATTTGAGCGAAGGAGTTTTTAGATGCTTCAGAAGAGGGGCTCGCAACGGGACGAAAGGAACGCGAATGGCGTCAAAAGTGCGTGGTTTCTGCTGTGTCTCTCCCTTTCTTTCCTCTCCTCGCTCAGCTGTTGTCATCGATGACCATTACTGCCCGCTCCGCACTCTCTCTTTGCTCTCATGGGGAAGTCGTTGTGGTGACTCATTAGTGGTGTGGCAACTGTTCTTGTGCCGGTGATTTGTAGTCATTGTCTGGCGGTGCGAAAGATGAGCAGCGATAAAATTTTTGATATCATATTCAACATGAAGTTCACGATGAAACAGATGAACAAAAGTGCCAACGCCGCGGAGCGGGCGAGTGAGAAGGAGAAGCTCCTTGTCAAAAAGGCACTTGAAAAAGGCAACCCGGAGGCTGCCCGCATCTACGCACAAAACGCCATTAGGAAGAAAAACGAGTCGCTGAATTATCTTCGCCTTGCCTCCCGCATCGACGCCGCGGTGTCACGCATACAGACAGCGGAGCAGATGCGGGCAGTCAACAAGTCGATGGCGAGCACCGTGCGTGGGATGGCGAAGGTGATGGAGTCTATGGACCCAATGAAAATAGCCCACGTGATGGATGAGTTTGAGCGACAAACAGGCACGCTCGATGTCAACCTCGGTACGATGGACGCTGCCTTTGAAAGCACACAGGCGGGTACCGTGCCTGTCGGGGAGGTGGACTCCCTTATGGACCAGATTGCGGCCGAAAATAATCTTGAAATCAGCTCAAAGATGAGCGGGGTGCCTTTGCACAGTCAAGTGCGTCCGGTGGTGGCGACGAGGACTGATGTGGAGGGAAGATGACGAAACACGAGATATAATGGAGCGACTGGAGCGTCTGCGTGGTGGCACCGTGTAAGCACGTGTGAAGAAAACAAGGAGAAAAGGGTCGAGTCCTTGTGGCTCTTAGTAGCCGTAGCGCTGGTGTTGGTGTTGGTGATGGAGACGTTCATGTGTGTTTTTTTTTTTTTTTTAGTTCTGCTACCGGGGCGGTGCAAAAATACGCACGCACCGCAATGTCTCGCGTTAAAGTAAACGTGAATGGGGCCAAATGCGAGAGGGAAAAACGAGTGAGGAGGAAAAAAACTCTTGGCCTTTTTTTTTGCGTTGGGTGAACTGCCCGCATTTTATTTTTCATTCTCACCTCACTTCGCATGTGTGTGAGTACATGCGACTTTCTCTCCATGTGTGTTGCCTTTTTTCTTTCACCGTTTTTACTGTTTGCATATTTGTTTTCTGCCTTGACCCTTTTGTTTGCATTGTGTGTACACGTGAGTGAAGCGATGCGGAGAGGCGTCAAGCGTGCGGCCCGCGCAGGGAACGACGGTGTTCCCGTTACCCGCAGGCGACTGCGTGATCGAGCGGAGGAAGAGGCGGAGGAGAAGAAAAGGCGGCTGCAGCAGGAGGCCGTCGCAGGGGGCCTTGCGCTCAAGAGCGAGGAGGAGGAGTGGGAGGACACAACTGACGATGAACAGGAGGAGGACGGCAGTGTAGACGAGGGACTGGACGGGATGATGGAGGAGGAGATAATCGACGAGGGTGAGGATGAAGACGAGGATTACGCCGAGTTCCAGCGTGAGGCGGATGCGGTGACGAAAGGCCTTAGACGCATAACATTTGACGATAGTGCGCTGCAGCAGCAGCAACTGAATGAGGGGGGCGATGATGGTGAGGAGGCCGTGCCTACTGTCTGGCGCAGCGACCAGGCAGAGGAAGGGCCGCAGCAGCTCGTTTACTCCAACAAGGCGTATGACTCCTTTTTTCAGTTGCGCACTGAATACCCGTCTCTCTCCTTTGATGTGCTGCGGGACAGAGACACCGCGAATCACAGCAAGTACCCGCTCTCACTCACGCTGGTGTGCGGTTCACAGGCAGACGAGCTCTCCAAGAATCAACTCTACGTGTTGCGCATCCAAAATATTTGCCGGACGAAACACGATGGTGACAGTGACAGCGAGAGCGACGACAGCTACATTGGAGATGAGGGGGATAGCGAAGATGACGTGGATGAGGACGAGGGCGTTGAATTCAACAACGGTGAGCCCATTGTGCAGCATCGGACCATTTCTCACTACGGCACAGCAAATCGTCTCCGTTGTGCCCATCACAATACAAACTTAGTGGCCGTATGGTCCGATGCCGGGCATGTGCAGGTGTTCGATCTGGAAAATGACGTCAACATGTTGTGTGATTACGCGAACTGGGCGAAGAAACAGTTAAAAAATCCCGTGCAGAAAAAGCCCTCTGCCTTAGTCTTTTGTACTCCATCAAAAGCACACAGAACAGAAGGGTATGGATTGGACTGGAGTCCCGTTGCGCAGAACGTCTTTGCCTCTGGAGACTGTGGGGGAAATTTGTTCGTGTGGCAGCCTTCTGATGACGGTCGCTGGCGGGCAGCTGCCAGCAACACAAGCGATACACAAACGCCTTCCATTGAGGAGATTCAGTGGAGCCCCACACAGTCCGATGTACTCATCACCACTCGTGTCGGCGGCGTGGTGGAGGTGTGGGACACCCGTGACATGCGGAAAAGTAAGATTCACTGGCAAGCTGACTCCACGGACATCAACGTTGCGGATTGGAACAGGGCGCGACAAGCTTCACACCTGCTAGTCACTGGTGCTGATAGCGGTGCAGTTGCCGTGTGGGATCTCCGCAAGGTCTCTGCGGCCACTCCAATTCAGCGGTTGCCGTGGCACAGGGGAAGCATCACATCGGTGGAATTTTCTCTGCACAATGAGAGTGTGTTGCTCGTGACCGGAGACGATGGTCAGTGCACACTGTGGGATCTCAGCCTTGAGCGCGATCCTAGTGAGGAGAAGGAGGTGATTGGTGAGCTGTTCGGGCGACCGGACCTGACCGGCGTTCCTGACCAGCTGATGTTTCAGCACCAAGGGCTTGAACACCCGAAGGAGGCCCACTGGCATGCACAGGTCCCCGGCATGGTGATTACGACCGATTACTCGGGGCTGCACCTATTTCGGCCCATGAACTGGCGTTCGCTCATGAAGTAGGAGAGACTGGAGGAGGGGAGACAAGTAAAGAAGGGGGAAAAAATGAATGAAGAGAATTGCATTGGCACACACACAAACAAACAAACAAACAAACAAAAAAGCATAGTCAAAATAAAAATTAAGAAGAGGCGAGGCCACACAACACGAAACAACAAAAACAACAACAACAAAAAAAAAAAAAAACAGGGAAAAAGAGAGGAAAGGGTAAAAGTATTGATGGTGGGGAACGGGAGCCCTGCCTCGGTCTTTTCTGAATTTAAAGCGTCTAATACCGCGTTTGTGGCAATAAATTTAAGTTTATTGTTTTCTGCTTCTTTATTGCGTCATTTTTTTGACCACCGGTTTTGCTGCGTTCTTGGTGACACCTTATTTATTTATTTATTTATTTATTTATTTATTTTTTTGTTTCTTCTTTTTTTTTTAAATTATTTTTTGTCGTGTTTTCTTTTGTATCCTGGCGTCTCGAACCTTAGTCTGGAGGGCCTCCACCGGCTTTTCTTCCATTGCCAAGGCAACCACACGTAGGCCAGGAGGCGACCGGGTCGGGGGCGTCCAACATTATTGCCATGAATCCACTTCTCCCAGTTATCCTGCTGCTTGTGAACTGGAGCATTGACTCCACGGACCCGGAGGTGCGGCAGACTGTCAGTCAACTCTTCATTCTGGTGCATGTGGCTCTTTTTGCTGTGGTTATTTTTCTGTTTGTCCGCATTTGGTTGCGCAATGATACTCGTGCGCTGCAGGTGAAGAAAGCTCACTCGAACGAATTACAGCAGATGACGGTAGCTGGCTATGACTTTTACGAGTGGCGCTCGTTGTTTTTTACGAAGTTGTTGTTAGTGGTCGCGGTTGGCCACTTCGTGGCGTCGCGGTGGGGCACGCCCTTCCCGCTGTTGCTGCAGTGCACTACGAACCCCTTTACAGTGTGGCGCTCGCCTCTCTTCCAGCTTCACGTGCTGGGCCGGCAGGAGGAGGGTAAACTTCTGCGCCCCTGGAAGGAGGAGTCCACTCTGCCTGAGTGGCTGCAGCGGGGGTGGAGGCAGTTTGGAGCGGACGAGGAGGCTGCGGCCGCGGGCTCACCGACGCCAAGAAACAGGAGGCGGAAGTCCTAGGCGGGAGGAAAAGAGAAAAAGCATGGGGACTGAGGGCAACACGAATACCTGGCCAAGACAAACATAACCAAAAACGCGAAGAGCTCAGCCAACAGCAACGAGAGGGACGAACGAGCAAAAAAAAAAAAAAAAATAAGAAGCAATGAGGGAAAACATATTTTGCGTCTCACGGCTACGCGGGCGATGCTAACATGATTAAACATTTACTCCTTCGCTTTCCTCGGTCCATGCGTGGTCCGTTTCAGCGAATCGTCCTTCTATTTTTGCACAACACATTCTTTTTGCACATACGGCGACACAGTTGGAGGCTTTTTATTTGCTTTTTTCCACCTTTTTTTTTTTTTTTGGATTGCGTTTGCGTGTCGGCGCCACAAGTTGCCCTCCTTTTTTTTTGTTTGTTTGGAGGGGCCCCGCGGCGTCAGTGTGAATCCACACACGCCGTAACGCTTAAAAGGAACGAAGCATAGAGAAACACCGCAGATTAGACGAAGCAGGGCAAAGAAAAACAAAAAAAAGGAAGAAGAAAGCAAGGCGGGGAAGAGCTCGAAAATAGTTTTATTTCACCATGCGAAGGCTTCTAGAAGACGCACTCAGTTCTGGAGACGTGGTTCAACTTGAGAAGGCGATCATCAGTGCGCAGAACACCGCTCTCGCGTCGCTGAAGCAACGGCGAGAAAGCAACTACCTCAATGATCTCATGCTGAGGTGCAGGAAAGCACTCGTTCAGCATCTCGAGGAGTGTGGATCGCTACTGAAACCACTTCGTCGAGCGTGCCGCAGCCTCGACGAGGAGGCATTGACAGATGCACTCCGGAGAGTCCACCTCGCAACATCTGAGCTGCGTCGCTACATGCAAACTGACATTCAGCAAGCCGAGACGCTGCAGAGACGCATGCTTTGCGCCGCGGAGGAGGCGCGCAAGCTTCTGAACAGCAGTGATTGGAGAGAACTAGAGCACTTCCTTGACGCGAACACCGCCATACTTCCTGATCGGACGGTAGTGGCACTTATGCGTCGAAGGGAAGCTCTATTTACACAACGCCACAGGACGCACGTAGACCCCGTAGCGCGCATGACAGGGCTGTCACCAGCGCCATTTTATGCCGGCTCTTTGCGGAGGGACGAGGATGGGGGGGCCACAGGGAGCATTTGTCAGCGAATGATTGAACATGAAGAAGAAAGCGGCCGTTGCGTGTTAATAGAACAGGAGCACGCTCAACGTGTGTTGTGTCTAAAGTCCGTAATGGACGCCATGGCGTTGCTGCTATCGCACACCGACCGTCAGTGGGACACACCTATGCAGTATTCTGCGGCACAGGTGGAGGTGCCCGTGCCGCGAAAAGAGACTCAACGATCATCGCCTTTGAGTGGCTTGACGAATAGTGACAACCGGTTTTTTCCACCGAGTACTGCAGAAACACCAAATGTGTCGCCCATAAAACTGAGTTTGCTGATGGATTCCGCCTCTCGGGCGGACCAACGGCCAACGGCAGCCGGCACTTCTGCAGCGGCGGGGACGGCTAACAATATTTCAGATTTTATTCTGGCGCGCGGAACCGTTTCTTCCGTGTCGCAGGAGTCTCATGTGGTTGTATCGCCGGGAGTATGGGCAAAACTTTCTGCAATGATGGAGGAGGAAGAAATTTGTCGCCGCGACGTGGAGGGCAGTGAAAATTTTGAGCGAAATGTATTTCTTCTTCCAATGGCTGCACGGAGTGTCCTCTTGTCACGCGTCTTTCCGCGTCGGAAATTGTGAAGATGTGCGCGAAGATTGTTTTATCGTGTTCCTTCTTTCTCTCCATTTTCCTTTTTTTTTCTTCATCAGTCGCAATGAGGAGACGCTTCGAATGGGGGTTTACGCGGAGGCGTTTTGTCTTCTCCTGCATGCTTTTGTCTATCACGGAAACCACGCTACATTCTTCACATTATTTCTTTTTTTTTTTTTTGTTGTTCTTCTTCTGTGATTTGTTCATTTGACGTTTTGCTCCGTTATCGGCTTTTGGCTCCCGGAGTTATTTTTCGTATGCCTGGGAGAACACGGTCTCGGCAGTGCTGTGGTCGCTGTGTATGCGGCTGCGGCTGCTGCAGGCTTCTTTGTGCGGCTCATGACGCCCGTGAGGAAGAAAAGAGGAGGCGGGATGTGCAGCGTGCGCAGAACAAATGGCACCCTTTGGACGTGCCGAAGATGGGACAGGCGGCACGGCGTTTCATGAATGAAGAGCAGCACAACACTCGGGATGCCGCAATCACGCTACGGATGCGCTTCATGTACTAGTTACCGAGGACGTTTGAATTAAACAGCCTCCCCCTCTCCTTCTTCTTTTTTTTTTTTTTCTGTTTTATGTTCCCTTCTGTTATGCATGTGTGGACATGTGTGTGCATGCGTTTTTCTTCCATAGATGCACAAACACGTACATCACTTTACTGCGTCATTTACTTCTCTTTTTTTTTTGGTCCCTTTGTGCGTCTGTGTGTGTGTGTGTTCCCTTCCATTTTACCCGTAAAGGAACTGTGGTGGCGACAGCCAGCCGTTGCAACCGCGGAAAGAAGGAAAACCTGAGGGGGGCGGAGCGCCGCGTCAGAGAACGTGAACGACACAGGGACGATTGGATGCTGTCACACATCCACGCGAATTTTGAAATGGGTTGATCAGAACCTGCTTTGAGCAGTTGGTTGTTTTGGCAAGACTTAAGATGCCGTTTGTTAGTCACCTTGCCCCGTCGTTAGCGCTTCTTCTTTTAACATTAGGGACTTTTTTTGCATCTGACGGTCGGTTCTTTGGTTAATTTTTTTTGTTTGCTTCCGTTGCGCCCGTTATTGGCGTGTGGGTGCACTTCCCACAAATGCTGCTGAGGTTGTCAAGGAGCACAACTGTGCTGCTGGCGGGGCTGCGCATGGAATGCCGCGTTCGTCCGCTGGCTTTGAGGCAAATATGGATGGCGTCTGCCCCGGCATTTATATGTGGCGATCGCTGCGGGGATGGGATCGCTGTCTCTGCCCGAAGTGTGAATTAGCACGCCGTCCGTGTGGCGCTGTTGCAGCGCTTTGGGCTCAGAAGCTCTTGGTGAAGGCAATGCCACTAATTTCATTGACGCTCGCAAATGGGGTGGCAGGAACAGTACTGGGCTTCTGTCATGCTTACCAGGATTTGTGTACACGGCCTGCTTCTGCGACAATTTTTGTGTGGGGGGAAAAAAAACGGGAGCGGAATTCGTCTCCTGTGTGGCTGTTATTTTTCTCTCGTTTCATCACATGGGCGATTTGTTACCGTATTTTTTATTTGATTCCCCTTCCATTTTAACGCTTTGACTTCTTCCATACACGCATGCTCGTATCCCACATGGGGATTGGAGTGCTATATCTGTGGATACTGATGGTGTTATCCCCTCTTTTTTTTCCCTTTTTCCTTTTCCCTTCTCTTTTTCCCTCTCTCTTCTGTTTCCGCGTTTACATCCACGTTAGGGGAAGCAGGAACGTGCCTTCATACATCCTCACACTCAAACTGAAGAATGAAACTGAGCCCAGAAAATTGCGCTGTTCCACGTGGGCAGCGGGTGGAGGCAGGAGAGTCCTTCTTTTACTGTGAACGCAGCAAACCGAAAGTTGAGACGTCGTACCGCATACGTCTTATTTCCGGCACGTCAAACGCCGCCCTGTCGGAAAGCGTGGCAAAGTCTTTGAATATTTCTCTCTGCCGCACTGAGATCAAACGATTTGCGAATGGGGAACTGGACATCAGGGTTCTAGATGATGTGCGCGGTGATGACTGCTTTATCATTCAACCCACGGCTGGAAATGAGCAAACAGATCTCAACACTGCCATGATGGAGCTCTTGCTGCTGGTGCACACACTGAAGCTTTCCTCTGCCAAGCGCATCACCGCCATTGTGCCTTATTTTGCCTACAGCCGCCAAGACAGAAAGACGGAGCCGCGCGTGCCCATTTCGGCATCGGCTGTGGCGCAGCTTATACAGTGCATGGGCGTTGATCGCGTTGTGACGCTGGATCTGCATTGCGGCCAGATTCAAGGGTTTTTCCGGAATATGCCGGTTGATAATCTTCTCATGTTTCCTGAATTTGCGACTTACATAATGAGGCAACCATGGTTTGACAAGGAGAGGACCGTTGTGGTGTCACCTGATGCGGGAGGCGTGGAACGTGCTAATGTCTTGGCTGATCGCATTGGTGCCAGCCACATCGTGACGATCCTTAAACGACGTGTAGAGGCTGGCAAGGTTGACTCCATGCAAACCGTTGGTAATGTCGACGGGTATACTTGCATCATCGTAGACGACATGGTGGACACGGCAGGCACACTCTGTAAGGCGTGTAACCTGCTGAAAGAGATGGGGGCGGTACGCCTGGTGGCTTGCTCCAGCCACGGCATCCTGACGGATCCGGCGTGCGAGCGCATCAACAACTGCGAGGCATTGAGTGAACTCGTTGTGTCGGACTCTATTGCGCAGAACATCAACTCCCAAAAGTGCAGCAAACTGACGGTCCTCACAATAGCACCGCTGCTTGGGCGGGCGATCGACAATCTGCACCAAGAGGCCTCGCTGTCTTCCCTGTTCTCGAAGTCCGGGGCCTCCAAGTAAGTAAGACGCGCCACTGGACAAAGTAGGCACATTTGGCTTTCGGAAGAAGCCTTCGAAAAGACAGCAACAACAAAAATTAAATGAAAGCACTGAAGGCAGAGGTAGTGTACGCTGAAAAACGCCTACATACGCATCTATGTATGCATCACGCGTACAGGGAAGGGGAAGAATGGAAGAAAAGGATTTAAAAAACCGCCAGTTGTGTTGTGCTGATTAAAACGAAACAGTGATATGTAGCTTTCAGGCGAAAAGAAGGAGTAAAGAAAGAAAAGGATCCAACCGAACCAAACAACACGAATGGGAAAGGGGGAAAAAAAGTAGGCAATGAGTTGAAAAATTAAACGAAAAGAAAAATGGGACGAGGTGCTTACTAACTGTGGTAGTGATGGTGGTGGGATGGGGTAATTCTTCCTTCCGTATTGTAAGAAGATCCGTGGATGCACTGCAGATGATTCTTTGGCCCTGATCCCTCCACCTCCACTCCTTTTTTTTTTTTTTTTTTTTGTTTTTTTTTTTTGTGCTTATCTGCCTTTTTTTTCTGCGTCGTGTCTTCTTGGAACGGCTTTTTGTTATGAATTGACGCCTAACTCACGGCACCGATAGCTGCGTGGGGCCGCTCCTGGAGGAAGGCTAAAGAGAAGGTTTAAAGAAGAAGAGGTGTAGTGTTTGAGTGTAGGCGTCTTTTTTTTTTTTTGGATTTGCTTGTTTTCTGTTAGAACATGTCCGATGATTTGTCTATTCACAGCTCCTCGGATATATCGGTAAAGCCAGTGTGCCTTTTAGGAGGCTCGCCGCGCGATTTGGACGACGATTCTAGGATGTTAACAGCGGAGAGCTCAGCATTTGTCACTGCTCGGTCGGCGGTGGATTTGAGCGTCGCATCCAACGATCCGTTTGGTCCTCAAGAAGAGCATCAAGACACATCACGTAACGCACAGGAGAGCGATGCGCAGCAGACGAGGCTCTGGGGTACCATACAAAATAAGGCAGTGAAGGCCCTTCTAAATGCTGCTGTTAGTGCTGGTCATCTCCTGGAGAGGATGTTGGAGCCGCCCGTGGGGAATGGGAATCCCTCGCAGGACGCGTCTTTGCTGCAGGTTGTGCACACCAACGGCTTGACTGAGCCGTTTGACGCCCCTAACCACATTACCCATCTTACTCTTGATGATCTACCTGACGAGGAGGAAGAAGAAGAAGAGGAGGAGTTGGAAACTCCACGTATCGAGATTGATCTTGTTTCTACTTTGCAGGCCTATTGCAAGAATCCGAGCGACTGCTTTGGCCACCTTGTCGCTGCTGCCCTGTCAAGCAGGTCCAAGGAAAATCCCGTGACAGGCGATGAACTGAAGGAGGCACGGCTTAACCCATACCTTGTCCGTATGATTATTGATTCCCGATGTCTTGATCTTGAGGACAAAACTGTACATGCGGAGATTCAGCGTTGTGTAGACACTGTTATTTCCTCTGAATCTGGTAGAGTTTCACTGAGCTTCTATGAATACCTTCCGTCACTGCTGAAACTGAATTTTGTACGTCTTAGCCCAGAGCGTTATGCGGTTATGAAGGATAGTGGATTTGAGTTTTTGAAGCTCTTGTGCGAGTACCCACATGTTTTACCACCCGGTCGACTCAATTCTATTCGTTTAAATTATGTTCACTCGACCTGTTACTTTGATTTTTTCACTATGATTTTAAGCACGGTTTTGGAGATTTTTTGCATCACCGGCATTATTCTTGCCTTGATAGAATGGGTCACTCTTAATGATGAGAGGTTTGAAGGTGTATTTGGATACTACACAGCCCTTGTGTATGGTATCGGGTACGCAGCGCACCTTATTGGCATGATATTTTTGATGCGTGGAAAGGCAAGGAACGCTGTGTATGGCAAGATGATTTGTGCCTTTCCCTCTCCGCACCTTCTCGTGGTGCCGGTGGTACCGCTGTACAACTTGGTTAGTATCTTCACATATGTGCGGTACCGAAAGGCCAATCGGTGTGGAAAGTATGTTGTCATTCTACACGATATTGTTGCTGCTCAGGTTTTATCTAGTCTTTGTTTTGCCCTTTGCGTGGCGATGCCACAATTTATTTATCAATCGATTGTGGTTGTCGACAATAAGAAACTTCTCCCGACTCCGAAGCAGCACTTCTTTAAGCTCCTGACGGCGTCGGCCATTCTTACATTTTTGGTGTCCATATTGCGTATGCTTCGAGCCCTTGCAATGTATGACTCTATCAATTGCTTTGGTTTTGCCTGTTTTGGATATCAGAGGGAACGAATCATAGAGAAGTATTCGGCGATTGTGCGTATGATACATGTTTTGTGCCTTTTCCTGTTTGAGTTGAACGTTTCTTTTTTGGTACTGGGGGCGATAAGTGTGGCGGATTGCAAGACAACGTCCATCACGACGATGGCGATGGCGGGAGCCTCCATCGTAATTCTGTTAGTTTTATTCTTTCTGCTTCTGCTAAGTCGTGAAAGCGTCTTCCGTTTGATGTGGGCTTTGTTGCCGTTGACTCCGCTGCAGATTTCACTGTTCATTTATCAATATTACACCTTTGATGGTGGTTGTAGATTTCTTATTGTGCGTAATGGGAATGTGGCCCTGTTTTGCTTTGTCATGTGGATTTTATTCCTGTTTCTGGTGCTTTGGGCGATGCAGCTTGTCGTGGTGTTTCTCTCAGGAAAACTTCGAAGCCTGTCGAGATGAGACTCTTCTTGGCTACGTCTCTCTCTCTCTCTCTCTTTGTCTTCTTTTCTTACTCTCCTCCCTGAGGCTTATGTTGTGTATGCATATGTGAATATGTATCTATTTGCATGTATACCTCATTTTTTCCTTTTATTCCGTTAATGTTTTTGCTTGTCCTTCTCAACTTCATTTGGATCGCCTTTTTTTCTTTTCTTTTTTTTTTAAATAAAACAAAACAACAACAACAAAAGACAGAATACGTCTCCTTTTTTGCGTCTTTGTTTTTCCAATATGAAGAGCGGTGCAGGCCAAAGCTACACGCGTTTGAAATGCTAAATATGTATATATATATGTACGTGTGTGTTGGTTTATTCCCTTTGTGCCTTCTCTTGTAATAAACGTGTGCTCACATCCGTTGCTTTTTAGTGTGTGTTTTTGCCGTTTTTTTCTTCCCTCCTCTGCCTTGGGAAGAAAGGGGGAAGGAGGAGGTTGTGAGGGCTCATGATTGGATGAAGCGCGGCTTGAACCTTGTTGCTCTCTCCAGCCTCACTTTTGGCCACCCGACATCCTCCCAACTTGTGCGGTGGAAGAGTTCCTCACCAGCCGAGGAATTGCAGCGCAGAGTGGGGCAGCTTGTCGGCAAGGGTCATGTTGATGAGGTGGCACAAGAAGTTTCTGTTGGTCTGGAGAACTCAGTCTTTTCGATGAAGGCATTTGCGAGTGCCCTGTTCCTCTGTGAGAAAAGACACAAGGAGAGTATCGGCATTGAACTGGTGCGAAAAGTGCAGGCGTCACAGATGGTGGAATCATGGACAGATGAAAGCGTTCTTGCCGTTATACTTCGTCTTCAGTGTGCCGTGGGCGACGTCCCTGCTGCGACGCAAATGTTTTCATTCATGGTTTCTAAAAAGCTTCTGCGTCTTCGCAGCGTTTCAGTATTTTTGGCCTTCTGGTGTGGGCGTGGAGATCGTTGCATGGCGTTCGCCGTTTACGAAGAGGCATTGAGGCAGGGTATTGAATTGCGTGCAGCGGAATACGTTGAACTGGGTCGGCTCTGCGTGGCAGTTCGTGAGCCGGTGTCTACACTGCATTTCATGCTGCGGGAGATGCAAGAGCATGTGCTGACCGTGCCGGAGGCGATGGTGACGGATGTGATTTGTCCGTGGACGCAAGCGGCGGGGCTTCGCATGGCAGAGGTGCAATTCCCACACGACGACACCACCCGAGAGCCCGGCACTTGCTCCTTTTGCGGGTGTGTGCTCAGAGGCCATCGCTTCACCGCAGCACAGAAGGAAAGGCTTCTAAGTGATGTGATGAACGTTGTGATGATGGCACCACGAGGCAACCCTACACGTGTGAAGGTGGCCTTTGAGGCATGGAGACGGTTTATCTCAACCCACGGGCAACTTATCGACGTGCTGATTGACGGGGCTAACTTGGGTTACTACGGCCTGAGCAGCTGGTACGAGGAAGCGAAGCGGGCACTGTTGCTGGCGCGCGGCAAGAGGGCGGAGGAGATCAAGCCGAAGGATGTGACGTGGATGAAACATGGTGCTGTGGATGTTACCGTGAACTTCCACCTTATCGATCTTGCGGTGCAGGAGGCACAACGTCGTGGGATGCAGCCGTTGATCCTCCTGCACGAAAGACACTGTGAGCCGAAGAACATGACAGAAGAAAAAAAAGTGATCGTCGCCAAGTGGCGACGCGAGGGGATTCTGTACTGCACCCCGAGCGGCCTCAACGATGATCTCTGCTGGCTGTACGCGGCTTTGGAACTTACCACACCGACGGACGCCACCGCCGCCGGCAGTCTGGTTGAAAAGACAGTCTGGGTGCTAACCAACGATCTCATGCGAGATCATCACTTTAAGCTGCTTAGCCCTCGTTTCTTCGCCCGCTGGCGGGATCGGCATCGCATCGCGTTCAAGTGCTCTCGGGAGGATGGCCGCACGCTTCTGCATTGGGTGATGCCCGAGTCGTATGCGCAGTGCATACAAGAGTTGAAGCCCCTCACATGGCACATTCCCGTCACACCTCAAGAAGATACCAAATCCTGCGCGGAGGAGAGGGAAAGAGAGAAGGCTATTAGTCAGGAGGCGCAAGAAGAAGAGGGAAATGAGGATAAGGACGCGGATGATGAAGTGATAGTGCCGCCTAGGCCCGCAAATCGCTGGGTTTGTGTGGGCTAGAAGGGCGTTGCAGCCTTCCTCTCTTTCTAAAACGAAGGAATAAACAAGGGTTCAAAGAGAAGAAAAAAAAAAAAAAAAAAAAGACGGAATGGATTTCTTTGCGTTGTGTATAAAAAACACAGCGTGGTGTGTGTGTGTGTGGTCTTGCATTCCTGGAGGTTTTTTTTTTTTTCGTATTCTTGCCGTGTTACTTCTTCCTTTCTTTCTAATAGGCCAGACCCGAAGATGACGAAGGGTACCACGTCGATGGGCCAGCGCCATGGGCGCACCCACATCCTCTGCCGCCGCTGCGGCCGCAACGCATACCACGTTCAGTGGGAGCGCTGTGCGGCCTGCGCCTACCCACGCGCGAGCCGCCGCCGTTACAATTGGTCCGTCAAGGCCATCAAACGCCGTCGCACTGGCACAGGCCGCTGCCGCTACCTGAAGGAGGTGAACCGCAGAATCAAGAACCACTTCAAGACTTCTCTCAAGGCGTAATGAGGATAATAAGGGGACGGAGGGAGAGAAGGCAGAGCGCACACAAGAGACGGAGTAGGAGAAAAATTGCGACAAAATGTCTCTGTTTTTTTGTCTGTGCGGGTGCGACTCTGTCCGTTTGATTTGTGGGCTGGGCATAACCGAGGTGGATGCCTGGCAGGCGAAATGACGGGCTGTGTTCTCGCTATTTAGTTTTTCTGTCGCATCGTTTTGTCATTGGTGGTCTCGTCGGGCTGCTACTTTTTTTATTATTTATTTTTGTTTGGTTCGCCGACACAAAAAGACGTGTTGTGTACGACTGCGGTGTGGCGTGGGTCGTTCGCGCCCGACGGAACTGTGGCCTTTTGTTTTTTGCAGAAAAGCCCTTTTTGTTTTTGTTTTTATGTTTGCTTTTTCTTTATCTTTTCTCATTCTTCGCTCCTCGTTCTGCGAAGGATCCCAAAATAGGAGGCAACGAGACCCAGAGAGAGAGAAAGAGAGAGAAGGAGGCGCGAAGGAGGGGAAGAGAACGACATCTTTTGCCTTCGCTTGAGGTTCTTCTTTTAAAAATTTTCCAAGAAAAATTGTTTACGTCGCTCACAGAGGGTGGAGCGTGCTGCACAATCAGTTGCCATGCGACGCGCCTCCGCGCATGGAGTGAGCGTTCACTTTGCTGTGGTGCTTACGACAGCGATGCGAGGAGCCACTTGTCTTCTGTGCGACGTGGAGTATGACTCGTGGGGGAAGCACGTTGCCGGTGCTTCGCATATTGCCCGCAACGCTATTTGCAGAACCTACGTTGCTCCTGAGCGGCACGATGCGATGATGCAGCAGCTGTGGAAACACATCCGCCTGGACTTTGGGTATATTGACGAGGTGACACACAAAAAGGAGGATCGTCGCCGTGGCCGGCTGGCATCTACGATACGTCATCTGCAGGAGCAGGGGATATTGCGCCACTCCATCCCAACGCTTTCTGTGGACGGCGACGGGGTTAGGTCGGTTGTTGTCACGAAGGATGCCTTTGTCAACCTCATGATGGTGGGCGAAAGCTACGCTAAGCAAGAGACCGTGGATCGTGTCGCGCGACTTATGCCACGCCTGGAGGCGGTGGAGCTAAGCAGCGTCGTACAGTACATTCTATCGAAACGACGTCTTGCCCGCCTTTTTGACGAACTTGATATGCGGCGGACGCTTTTAAACGACTCTGCGACGGGTGATGCCGTGGAGGGGCCGAGTGAGAATCGAAAAAATGGGGAGAGTGACATCGCACGGGAATGCGACGATGCCGCGGAGGAGACGCTGCGTCTCCGCCAAGAGGAAAAAACTGTTATTATTTTCAGCTGCCTTGGCGAATTGCAGATGTACTCACGGCAGGATCGATCACATAGCGTGGCCACACGGGCGGCGGCAGAGCAGCTCGTGTTGAATGTGCTCGGCACACACGTGATGGAGAACATTATCGCTGAGTTGGTGCACACAGTGCTGCAGACTGTGGTGGAGGAGGGGACGCCTGTGTGGCGAGCGTACTGCGACGATTTGACCAACAAAATGTTTGAGGGCACCAGGGCGACGCCGCCATCGCTTGCTTCGTCACCAGCACCAGCGGCAGGTGCGGCAAACTTTGGTGAAATTCGCTCGACTGATCTTCTTTCCTTATACACGCTTCAGGTGGGAGAAAATGCTGCGTCGGTTGTGCCGACTGCTGGACGACGTTCTTGGAGTGATGTGACGCGTGCCTTGGCTCTGGAACTCACTGTGCCCAACCCAGTCAACAAGAGTGCTTTGTTTGCCGCAGCGGCACCACGGCTTTCGTCGAAGAAGAAACCGGCCTAGGGGAGTGACTGAATGTTTTCAATTTGTGTACCTGTCTAAGCGTAGGCATCTCACCATTCTCCTTTTGACAAGCAAATACAGCAGAAATTTCACCGTGGAATAATGGGCTCATGCTGGCCGATTGAGCAGACAAAGACACCTCCCGCCATGCAGGGTGCGTGAATAAAAAGTACAGGCAAAGTAACTGACATTTGTCGCGTGATGAATTTGAAAGACGACATGACGATGACGGCAGTTGGTACGTCAAGGGGGAAGACGGGCAGAAGGCGGCGTGGCGTGTTATGGGAGACAAATGAGATGTGGGCCTTACTTGAGTAGACTGCCCGATACCCCCCGAAGCTATCTTTTCTGGCTTTGATTTTTCTCTTATTTTCAAGTTGTGTGCCGCGCCTTTTGTTTTTTTCTTTTTTTTCCTTTTTTGATACCATGGATATCAAAAGCGCCGGGGGCCAACGAACACCGTATCGATGCCCCGTGGCACCCACATGAGGAGGAATGTCGCTATTGCGTTCTCCACCTGACGCTGATGCAGGACGATGATTTTAGCCACATACACCCAGATTATGAATGGCATACTGATGATGGTATCGGTGCCCTGTGAGTCTGGTGAAGGAAATGCGGTGCTGCGATGTGGGACAAGGGGGAAAGAAAGGATGGCGTTTCTGCTTCATTCTCCACTGCTTCGGTGGGGGTTCCTGTCGCTGTTGCTGTTCCTTGTTGCCGCACTGTTACTCCGCCGTGCCGTGGCCAACAGTAATGTATTCCCTCCATTGGCGATGGGAAGAGATGGAATTGGCCACGCCGGAAGCTTTCACGGATAACGGCTTTCTTTCTGGTGTGTCGTGCGGAATTCATTTCTAGATTGGGGCTTTTGCTTGGGAACATTGACTGCTGTGCTGAAGTGCACAATGCACGTGCAGGGAGTGGGTTGGATCAATGTTGTTTGCACCTGTTATTTGTGAAATATGAGGAGGGACGGCAACTGTAGTCACGGAGTTTTCTTTGCTGGGGATTCCTTTTTGTATATTCCTGCAGCAATCAACATGACCGGGGGTCCCAAGGGCGTTGGAGAGGCCCAAAAAACCATCGTTTTTCACTTTTTTTTTTTTTTGTTGATGGTTGACAGGCATCATGGCTGGGGGACTCGGTGCATGAGACTCCTTCTGATCCTACCCTGCTGGCGCAAACCGGCGCGGACAGTCCGTTAATCATGAATAAGCGCATTGCAAGTAACGGAGAGAGCAAAACTACCAGGTCAACACAGATTTCTCGGCGTGGCCACCGGCATTTGTGCTTGAGGGGGATGGGGGGTGGCGAGGCGCATGCTTTCCCGTGTTGCCAATGACCTCCTGACTTGAGAGAGGCATGAGGAGCCCAGGAGAAGTGTCTGTTGTCATGAGCATCAGCGGGTGACATCAACAGGAACGGAGTGACTGTTGATCACATGACTGTCGAATTTGTCGCTGCGAGCACGAAGTATGAGAAACGGGCTTGCCAAATGACACAACAGATGGGGAACCTGACGGACGCTAAAAGTCTGACAGGAAGAGCATCCAGGCAACATCTGGAAAAAGTAAAAAAGGAGCGATTTTCTGACAAGTTCGCTAGTGTTGTATGTGAAGTTGTTGTTTTTGTCCGCATGACTCTTGTTTTCCACGTGCTTTGCGTGGGCAATGGAAGCAGAAGGCACGGACTGATGGTGCGAGTTCTTCTTTGTCTCCTGTCGGCGTCTGGAACAGTGAATGCGACGGCGGATCCATCCACGCACTTTTCAGTAGCCGCGGCTGTTGTCTCTGCCACGCCTGCGGCTGCTGCTCTTGCACAGCCTGACGTTGCTTTGCGGGATGGTGAGGCTTCGTTGTTGTACGGCAGGGCAAAAGTGGGCAAGACCCCGCCAGAAGCACTTGGAACCTCAGGTGGTCATATTTACGAATATCAGAGACGTGTGTGCACCTCCATGTTTATATCTCGCGTTTTCGCCTTCTGTACACGGCCGTGGAGAATGAAGTTGTTGTTGTTTTCTTTGTTTGCAGCACTTGGGATTCCGTTCGCTCCTACTTTCTGTTGATTGATGCCGTTTTCCGGAGAGCGTCTTCTCCCGTGCGTGAAAGTCAGTGTCTCTGCTTCTGTGTGCGGTCTCACAGTGCTTGAGCCGTCTTGGAAGGTGAGAATAATGACTGCAGTGGCTACGAAGATGCTGATGTGTTGTACTGTGGATGCGTGACGCCAACCAATCTTCTGCCACGTCCTGTTTTGGCGCTTGTTTTTCAATTTGATTTCTTGCACACAAACCAACACACACATATTTATATGCTCTCAGGTGTTGCTGCAGTGAAGGCACCCAACGCACACACAACCGTCGCCGCGTGACCGGATCCAGCGGAGGGAGGAGGGAAGGAAGCGAGGGTGAGCACCAGAGGCCCAACATGTCCCGGCATCTCTTCTGTTCTGCGGTGCTGCTCCTCCTCGTTGTGATGTGGATGTACTGCAACTCTTGTGGTCCCGCAGCCGCTGAGGACAGCAATTCAGGGGATGTGCGGCTGCCGCAACGGGTCGGTCTCTTTTTGCCGCATAAGACGTCGGTGCTGCCGAAAGAGGGGGCGGGTCCGGGTGATGTAAGGGATGCATTTGTTTCACCCTCTATTGTCAGTGCTGGAGGAGTAATTGTTGCTCTTGCTGAGGGTCGGAAGTGGCATAGTGCACCGCAGCATCCAGCCGCCAAAACCCTTGCGATTGATATTGTTGCGGGGTACCTCAACGCTACGGAGCCGTGGCCGTCCATGGTCGCCTATATCACCTCCAGTAAGTGGAATGCACACACCGTCTTTGAAAGAGAAACCCCAAAGGATGGGTTGGGCATTGCGATTCTACCCACGTCACTTTCCAAGGGCAACGAGCTGTTCCTTCTTGTGGGAAGCTCCTACTTTGTTTTTGATGCTACTACGCAGCATTGGGTTGAAGGTGGAGGGGACATCTATTTGGTTAAGGGTGAGGTCACGCCGTCCACGGAAGACGAGCCGAGTAAACGGGTCCGATGGGGCAGACCTCAATCGCTGTTGGGGCTGATCAGCGAACGTACCAAACAACTTGGCCTGCACCACGTTTCCGGTGCTGGTGGCTCAGGCATTGTGCTTGAGAGGGGCTGGTTTGTGTTTCCCCTGACGGCGTTAAAAGGCGAAGAAAAAACCGTTTTTACTATTTATTCAGTGAATGGCGGCAGCAGCTGGGACGTCGGCACAGGCACGCCTCCTGGGTACTGCATGGACCCTCTTATTGCCGAATGGGAGGAAAAACTTCTCATTGTTGTTTCTTGTACGGGTGGCCGCAAAGTGTTTCAGGCGGGTGACATGTGGGACACATGGACGGAGGCTCCCGGGGTACTGTCACGCTTGTGGACCAGCGAGCCAAACCCTCGGGGGCTAAATTTTGCGTTGGGAGATCTCCTCACTCTGAACTTTGGCATAAGGAGTCTCATTCTGTACACTCAGAAAGGGTTTCCCCAGGGGAAAGGCAAAGTCAATGCGCTCTACCTTTGGGTCACGGATAATAACCGCGCGCGTCCTGTTGGTCCAATTTCTATGGATGATGATAGGGAGAGGACGGTTGCCAACAGACTGCTGCACTCAAATAATATGCTGTACCTTCTGCATGAGAAAAGAGCTCAAAGTACCGATGCCATTTTTCTTTCCCCACTGAAGGAGGAGCTCGACACAATTATGTCTGTTGCGAATAGTTGGGCACTGATGGACATTTTCTTTTCCGGGTTGTCTATACCCACGGATGGGCTGGTTGCTTTTTTGTCCGATTCAGCCACTTCTGACACGTGGATCGACATGTACCACTGCGTGAATGCAATGGACCGTTCACTTCTGTAACTGATGGACGAGCCCGTCAGTCAATTTGTGGGCGTGGGAGGGTTTGTTTTGCAGATACGGGCTCCTTTGGCTGGGCACAGTTTGTTCGCCGTTTGCCTGAGGAACAGTTCCTTCAGGCAAGACGGATGAAAGTTATTTTACCGTTGGAAGGGGAGAAACGACGTCGGGCACGGGATGCTTATTGTCTTGTGGCACGCGATCAATTTTCTCCCATTTGATGCGTTGAGTGCTTTACGGAAGGGGGACCACATGCGTATCATTATTGAGCTTTGGATCACCGTTTGGTTGCGTTTGAACACACGACGCTTCAAATGTTGTGTTAGCCGCTGGGGGGTTGCTGTGGTTTCATCCGCTTTTGGCACTGACGGCTCTTTGTGTGTTTGGGAAGGGGCTTACTTTTGTTGTTGTGTGTTTGTTACTTGAAGAAGGTCTTGTGATGGGGGTGGATGATGGCTGGCGGCGGGACGGCCAGAAACCGGCATGATTGGAGGCATCGCAAGCGGCGTGCCGTGTTTCGTGGCTTCTGGCTTTTTTTTTCTTTTTTTTTACTTTTTTGTTTTCTTCTTTTATCTTACTGTTTTTGCTCTTAGCGCGTGTTCAGGGACGCGTAGATGGATATGTTTACAATTCTTTCAGCGTCAGGTGATCCGGTTGTGATTCCGCGGGACCCCGCAATCATCTGCCAATCTGCGTGGCTGCAAGCAGCACTCGACATTGGGGAAGAAGAGGGAGTTGTGCCTATAGCTAGCACACAGACACTGCAGTGCCTGGTGGCCTATATGAAACACCACGCAGCACACTCCGAAGATGACGAACAGGATATCGAGCTTCCAGTTTCATGCACGTGTACGAGCAGTCCTGCCGGGCTGGGGTATGATGTACACGTAATACTGCCGCCTAGTGACATTGCTTTTTTGGATGATTGCGTTGGAAGGAACAATTCATGGCCTCTGGAGACGCAAGAGTTGTTTTTAGAGCTATTAGTAGCTGCTGACTTTGTGGGACACAGTCGCCTAATGAGGGTATGTGCAGCGTACTTTGCCTGCCGACTCATGTCCGCTACGGAGTCGGACATTTTGAGGTGGTTTGCGATGCAGGCGCCACACGACGGGAGGGAGAATGGCGTGGGATTACCCGATGAAAAGAAGGATGGCCTCCTCCTGTTGCTTTCTGACGAAGACCGACTTTATTTTTTGAGGGAGATGAAAAAAGTCCTGAATATCGAGGAGTGAATCAGTCAATTTTTGCTTGTGTGCGTGACCGGCGGCGTTCCCCTTAAAAGAGGGTTAAATGTCATGACGATGATGCGCCATTTTATTTCCCTCCACTTTTCTTAAAGCGTTTTTTCCCTTCCTCTTACACCATATATACATATATATATATATATTTGCTTCACAGCCAATTGTGTTTTTATGCACTTCTTTTTCTTTTTCTTTTGGCTTTTTTTCTGACACAACGTGGCCCATCAGGTCTGGGAGACGTAACGAACAACAAAAACACACACGCCGAGAGAGACAAAACAGGCGGCAGTCACTTTGTGTGGTTCTGTGAGGATTTGTTCGGGGAGTCCTCTCCTCAAGTTTTAATGCCGCAGAATCCCCAACCGAAGCCTTCTGGCACAAAGACGACATTGGCGCTCCGCAGTTCGCCGGCGCCCCCCGTGGACAGCGGAAAGGCTGAGATTGCGGTTGTGGGTTCCCGTGTTGTTCGCCTTCTCCGCGATGCGCGGGCGTCGGTGCGGGCACACCAGCGCCCTGACACCCCGTTGGCCAACGCGGCCCCACCGCGGCCGAAGCGTGGCAGTCGCTTGAGCGCAATTGTTGCATCCGCTTCATCGAGCCCCTCGCAGCTGGTAACGAGTGCCCAAAACTTTGACCGCGCGATGTTTGAGTCTTCATTAGATGCGGCAAAAGGTATTCCCCAGCTGCAGTTAGAAAAGCTGGCCGAGCTGAAGCTATGGCTGGCTAACCCACATCATCATCTTTGGGATACGGCAGTGACGAGATTGCTGAATATGGTGACGTCGACAAACACGGAGGCGCAGGTCGTGATGACTGCGGCCTCCATGCTTTTACGCCAGAACGAGGTGCATCAATTTTCGGGTCTTCCTTTCGTTATTCGACGTATACATGGATTATGTGAGGGAGGCTCAGATGGAAAAATGTTAGAGGAGATTCTGATGCGTGAGTCCCTCATGCAGCCATTACTCCAGTTAATGAACACCAGGGAGCTAGCGGACACCCATACGAATGTGCTGTGGGATGTTTTAGAAATACTCCGAAGCTGTAGCGCTAACAGTGGTGTGATCTTAACACAGTTGGTGACACTGGGAGTGATTACTGGCGCAAATGCGCTGGTGAAATACATTTTGTCCTCGACGTGTGATTCGCCTTCTAAAGCAACTTCTCCTTCTTCCTCTAGTAACGTACTCTGCACGCTTCTTCCTTCGTTATGCTTGCTGTACCGCAATCTCAGCACACAGTATTCCCAACTTTTGCGCAAATTGGGCTCCCTCGATCTTCTTGTAGACATCTTGGATCGATTTCGTGAGGATGGGGTTGTGGTGCAAGCGGCAGCTCGAGCAATGGCAAAAACGGTATTTGAGGATTGCTCGCTGGAACACTATCAAAAAGGGAATCGTGCCTGTCGTGCTTTGGTTGCCGCACTGGAGGCAAATTTATTATTGGGTGGCTTGACTGTTAGTCGGCTCTGCGGCACCTTAGCACGGCTTGTGGAGGGGAGTCGGGAGCTGCGGGATTGGCTTATGCGTCATCATCATTGGGTGCTTGTACGTTTGGTACAGGCGTACATTACCCCACAGCAGGTGGCCACCGCAGTGCATGCAGAATCACCGCACGATTTAGAAGAGGCCCAACAAGAGGATTTGTTGCAAAACATCACATGGCTTGTGGGGGTGGCAGCCATCAGCGCCGAGTGCTCAACGTCGTTTGTAATTGAGATTACTCCCCTTCTTGTGGAATTTCTGAAGGACCTTGATGTGAAAAAATGGCATCTGACTTTTATTTATACCCTTATGTGTTTGAGTAATCTCTCCTTCTTTTTTGATGCTGTGGAGAGGATGGAGGGCGGTAAAGTGGCCCTTGTGGAAATTTACATGACAGCCGGCCTAATCCTTGCTGGGATCCTCTTTGATGGTGATACAGAAGCAACAGTGGAGGCAACGCGGATACTAGGGAACATGAGTCTCACCAATGCAGGACGGGATTGGATGGAGTCGTACCGCTGCGATGAGGTGTGCATCGTTTTTCTGGGACACGAGGATCCTCGTATTGTGTACAACTGCTTTGGTATTCTGCTCAATTTGACAGCAGCCGATACCTGTCGTGTGGCCTCCGACCCGGATCTTATGCAGATGTTGTTGCGGCATACTGGGAGGTACACACGTGAGGAGTCTATCGAGGCTGAAAGGATCAGAGAGAATAGCCGTGGCATTACTGATTCCAGCGGCGACGAGGATCAAGGTCTCAGCTACACGGATCAGATTGCCGACGTTGTGGAGAAGCTTCTCCTAAACCTAAGCGGTCTCATCTAGATGATGAAGGAAGTAGATACCAAGTGCGCATGAATAAATGTGAGTTAAAACACAAACTCTGGTCAAAGGAAAAAGGAGCGTTTTGGTGCTATCAGTTTTTCTGTCCATCTCTGACTAAGCAGCGGTGCCGCAGCGGCGGAAAGGGTGGTGGTGGCTGAAACATCAACCCCAACGAATAATGATAGCGATCATCATAACAACAGTTTTTTTGCTTTGGCCGTTGACTTTCCTTCTAAAAATCCCACCTTTTCTTCCTTCTTTTACACCCACACCCATTCACCCAAACAAACAAATGAAACAATGCAGGGAAGAAAAGAAGGACCACAAATAAAGGGGGAGGACGGCAGCAATGGGCGGGCAAACCGGCGTGGATGGCGCCCGTGACGTTCCGCAGTTTGGGTGGTACCGGCCCTGTTACTTGCCGTCACGTGATCCACCCAAGAGCACCTTTCCGCCCCTCTCGAAGGTCGTTGTGAGCGAGGGGCTGGATGGCAACGTGAGCGATGAGGAAGCGTTAAAGCGGCGAGCCGAGTTGGGGTTTGCATGGGAGCGGATGAGACCAATCACAGAGGTGTGGCATGGCCCTACGATTGATGACAAGGTGCCGCCCGCAAAGGACTATGAGCGGCTGCTGTTAGATGCGTCATCGGGGAGTCTGCGGTAGTCGTCAAAGGAGGTTGTTTTTTTTTTTTTTGTGTGTGTTTTATCCCCACCCTTTATTCCGGGTATTCACTGTGTTCAGTGTGGCCGTATTTTGCGGGACGTGTTCTTTTATGTGTGTTTTGCCCTGTCTTTGTCATTTTTTTTTTTTCGTTTTTTCTTTTGTTCTTGCGAATTATTATGTTTGGCTTGTTGGCAATAACACACACAAAACACAAAAACAAAAACAAAAAAACGCAGAGAGGAGGTGCGGGGAGGCAGCGAAGGTCAGGGGGAACGGCGCAGCGACGCGTGGGGCTTGAGAAGTGAACCGTTTGACAAAAACAACAACAAAAAGAAACCCGAAGAAAATATCATCCCATCAAAACAACAACAACAACAACAAAAATAAGGGAGGGAAAAAAATAGTGCATAAGAGGAGGACGCACAGACAAAAGAAAACACACGCAGCGGGAAAAAAAGAGGGGTAATGGGAAATAAATACGAGGAGGAGTACGGAAAGGTCCAGCTTCCTCCACGACGGAGCGAGGACGGGGGCCTTCGAGAGGGCATGTTGATCATCCGCGCTGATGAGGATTGCGTTGGCGCGGCCGGCGATTGTGAAAACGGTTTTACCCCACACCCCGCGCGAGCATTCGCGGAGATTTATTTGCAGCCTGTTGTCCGTTCAGTTCTCACGGCAGAGCAATTTATGCGCTGGTCAAAACGCGAACTTCGGCTGGAGGAAGCCAACTTGTGGAGTCTTGTACTGGAGCTTTTGCTGGATGCTGAGCAGGGCAGTAAATACAACCCGGACGCTATTGGCATTGCTGACGTCCAGCCTCATCGTCGCTGGTATGTGTCTCACCTTTCACACATACAGGAATTGCTGCAACGTCATACACTCTTGCGCCGCATGAACATTGTTGTGCGCTGGCTGGAACAAACTTATAGAGAGGGGAATACATTGCTTAAACTCTCAGCTTCACGTTCTCATGAGGAGGCTGTTTTATTGCGACAGATTATTCTGTCTCACCTACGTGGTGGCGAGCTTTACAGGGCTATTGATTTGGCTGTCACGGCAGGCGACTGCACATACAGTTGTTTACTGAATGCGGCACAGATGCAAACGGTGTATGAATCATGGTTTCATTGACGCCA